AACCCAGATTTCTTCTTTCTTTTGAGTTAAGGTCTTGATGTGTAGCTCAGGCTAACCTCAGACTCACTGTACAGCCCAGGCTAGCCTTGACCTCAAGCTCCTCCGGCCTTAGCCTCCAGCCTAGGTACAGAAATTTCCCGGCATGAGCCACCATGCTCAACAGGAGCCCTGTATTTCTGACTTTTCGTATTAGCTGCTGTATTTTTCTGTCTCCAAAATGACGTGGCTCAGGACTGAATCGGTTACAAGATCAGAGAAAGGAGAGCTTATGTCTCCGCCCTGGGTGGTCATTATGCTCATCCACCAAAACAATGCTGAAGTTATTTCTCATGATACAATGCCTTCCTTCCCCTGGTTCCCACTTTCAAACAAACAGAAAATGGACGGTGGGGGAGAAGCTCATGTGCCCAGAGAATACATTACTGGAGAGAACAGGACAGCAGGACAGTGACAGGCAATCATCATCTTCTGCTGGAATGGGCCTTTACCAGGTCCCACTGAGGACAGAGTTTAGCAGAATGATTATGAGGGGCTGCCATGCTAGACTGCTTGACTCAAATCTCGATTCTGTCCTTTACCAGTAGCATGGACCTTGGGAAGTCACTTACCTTTCTCAGAATCCATTTAATTGCTATGGTTATTGTGTTATATCCAAATAAATTAATATACAGCAAAGACCGAAGGAATGTCCAATGTGGTCAAGGTAAGGGGTTGCCATTGATGGGCCTTAGGTTCACTTCTGTCCTCAACCTTTGACTCTCATACTCTCAGCCCTGTGCCTGCTCCAGCTTGGCCCCTCCCCTACTCACCCCTGCTCGTCTCCACCCTTCAGGAGATCCTGTTGGGCCGTGGCTTCACCTTTTGGCAGTGGTTTGATGGTGTCCTAGATCTCACTAAACGCTGTCTCCGGAGCTATTGGTCAGACCGGTGAGTCCCTGGCCCCAGGAGGCGACGCATCTGTACCCATGGCTCCCTCTCTGCACCCACTGTGTCCACATCCATGTCTCCTCCTTCACTCTGCCCAGGCTGATCATCGGCTTTATTAGCAAACAGTACGTCACAAGCCTTCTCCTCAACGAGCCAGATGGAACTTTCCTCCTCCGCTTTAGTGACTCTGAGATTGGGGGCATCACTATTGCCCATGTCATCCGGGGTCAGGATGGTGAGTCACCACAGCCAGCCCTCCGACTCCATGCTGTGTTCTCTTGGGTTCCTAGGGAAGGAAATGTCCTGGCTATCTTTGATGTCCGCCTGATCTTTAGGAAGTTCTTCTTTAGGTCTGACTTCTTGCCTTCCTCCTATGGTCTCGCCTTCAACTCCCATGGCAATGGGCATGAATGAGTCTCCTTCACGCGAGACTTCCACCCTAGGCCTTCTCTCACAGGCCGTGGTGGATTGAGAATGGGTCTTGTATGGGGCTGGGGGGAGAGAAGTGTGGGCAGAGGAGACCTTAGGGTCTCATCCCTCTTGTAGGCTCCTCACAGATAGAGAACATCCAGCCATTTTCTGCTAAAGACCTGTCCATTCGCTCACTGGGGGACCGAATCCGGGATCTTGCTCAGCTAAAAAACCTCTACCCCAAGAAACCCAAGGATGAGGCTTTCCGGAACCACTATAAGCGTGAGCAGGCAGTTCTGACTCCTCCCGTCACCCACTCTCTCCCTGTTCCAGCTATACCCCTCTGTCTGCCTGGGTCATCCTTGTCTCCCTCCCATCTGTGCGGCCCCGCCCCCACCTGCCCATCAACCTTCCCCTTCCCACCTCCTTGGTAGTGGGGTCCACCCCAGTTCTCCTTTCCTCCCCACCACAGCTGAACAGATGGGCAAGGACGGGAGGGGTTATGTCTCAACTGCTATCAAGATGACCGTGGAAAGGTGAGTGAGAGGGTGTGGGTGGTGGGTGGAGACTGGGGGCTGGCACTTATCTGTAGGAAGGAGTGGTCTTTGTCAGTCACATGTACTTCCTTCTCTCTTTCAGGGACCAGCCTCTTCCTACTCCGGAGCCCCAGATGCCCGCCATGGTACCACCTTATGATCTTGGTATGGCCACTGATGCCTCTGTGCAGCTCGGCTCAGATATGGGGTAAGGAGGTGGAGAGATAAGGAGGGGGCTGGCACATGCCAGCAGGCCTTTCAGAGGAGAGACCAGGTGTGGGGTTGTCAGGGGAAGGGCTTGCATCAGAGTTTGCCTTCTTCCCTCAGGTACCCTCCACAGTCTCATTCCATCCACTCATTTCAAAGCCTCCCCCTAGAAGAGCCAATCAATATGCTTCCAGCCTTTACGGAGTAAGTCGGAGCCTGTGGAGGATGAGGTGGGGCGGCATCTGATCACAGTGGGTAGTGGGGCTTATGTGGGAACAGCAACACAGGCACACCCCTGTGTGTTTATGGGAGTGATGCCTAAGATTCGGATCGCTAGGGGAAAATGATAATAATGACATTCCCTGCTGCTGAGGGAATGCCACTGAACACATGCTGAGTGTGTGTGTGCTCTACCACTGAGCTGCCTCCCAGCAGTTGTGATGATTTTTATTTGTCAATCTTTATTATCCTTGAAATGGCCTAGACCTTTTCCTTCCCCAAGTAGCATTAAGATGCTTAATCAGCCGGGCGGGTGGTGGCGCACGCCTTTAATCCCAGCACTCGGGAGGCAGAGCCAGGCGGATCTCTGTGAGTTCGAGGCCAGCCTGGGCTACCAAGTGAGTCCCAGGAAAGGCGCAAAGCTACACAGAGAAACCCTGTCTCGAAAAACCAAAAAAAAAAAAAAAAAAAAAAGATGCTTAATCAGCTCTTAGTCAAGGGCTTTTCTGTCTTCCTGGGAGTTGATGTGGAGTGGGCCTAGGAAACAGAACCATGGTTCAGTCTAAAGAAACATTGGGCGCCGGGCGGGTGGTGGCGCACGCCTTTAATCCCAGCACTCGGGAGGCAGAGCCAGGCGGATCTCTGTGAGTTCGAGGCCAGCCTGGACTACCAAGTGAGTTCCAGGAAAGGCGCAAAGCTACACAGAAGAAACCCTGTCTCGAAAAAACCAAAAAAAAAAAAAAAAAAAAAAAAAAAGAAACATTGGGCATGCCAGGCGGCGGGTAGCACACGCGGGCGGCAGAGGCAGGTGGATCTCTGAGTTCGAAGCCAGCCATTTCTACAGAGTGAGTTCCAGGACAGCCACAGCGACACAGAGAAACCCTGTCTGGGGGTGGGGTGGGGAGGAGTAACATTGGAAATTGGAAACACACACACACACACACCATTTTTCAGGGGAGAAACCTGATCTAGGAGCCTAGGAATGGCTTGCTGAGGGAATGCTGGTCAGTGAAATGCTAAGTCAGGATAAGGCCCAACAGATTGTTTCCTGACTCACGGGTCTTGATTGGTAATACTCTCTGCCTACTTCCCTTCCTGTTTTCTCCTTCCTGCTTCCAGGCCTCACCTGCAAATGCCCTCCAACATGAGCCCGATGAACCTACACTTTGACCAGCCTCACCCCCAGTAAGTGACAAACCCCCTCCGGACCCCACCCTCTCCATGCCTCCTCCCTTGCCAACCCCTGCTAACGTCCTCTCCTGGCCCCTGGCAGCAACCTGCTGCAATGCCAGCCCCAAGAGCATGCCGTGTCCAGCCCTGAACCCCTGCTCTGCCCAGATGTGACCATGGCAGAGGACAGCTGCCTAGCTCAGGCTGTGGGAGGCTTCTCCCAGGGCACCTGGTGAGTAGGAGCCTGGGGGTGAGGGCTGGGAGACAGGGTGCCGGGTCTGCTCCACTACTTTCCCCTCCTCCTTGCAGGGTTGGCGAAGACATGTACGCTCCCCTGCTGCCTCCCACTGAACAGGACCTCAACAAGCTGCTCCTGGAGGGCCAAGGGGAGGCAGGAGGAGGGCCCTTGGGGGCCCAGTCCCTCCTACAACCATCTCCTTATGGGCAATCTGGGATCTCAATGTCCCACCTGGACCTAAGGACCAACCCCAGTTGGTGATCCCAGCTGGCGAATCCCGGACACAGAGCCTCTGCTGTCTCTATGGACCTGCCCTGTGGACACCTGCTCATGCAGGCGCCTCCCATCTCCAGCTGTTCCTTGGTCAGGAGGGAAGAACTGCTAGGAGAATGCATGGCATATGGAACCATTGCACTCCATTCTTCCTACCACATCAGGGCCCCTTTTCCAACACAGGGAAAGGATGTTCAGGCGCTAATGCGGTAACAGGCACCTGTGTGCGTGCACACGCACACATACACACACACGCAGAGGACCAGGACATGCTGGGCAGGAAGGGACTAGGCAAGCACAGGTTAGGGTACCAAGGGCTCCTGTGTTGAGGCAGGGCCTGGGGCACACATGCACCAACAGGTAAGACACCATGCCACAGATAGAGGGCATAGACCTAGGGCATTGAAGAAGGGGTTCAGGAGACCCTGGTGGGAGGAAAAAGGGGGCCTAGGTATATGGTTACTGGTGTGGACTTCGCCTAGATTAAAAAACCAAGTTCCTCCAAAATCTTACTGTCAAGGGGCTCTGTGACAGGCCAGACTGTGCCTCGCAAGACCTAAGCTTTGTGTGTAGCTGTGCCGACGTTTACCCGAGACACGAGTTAAGCTTTGTGTGTAGCTGTGCCGACGACGTTTACCCGAGACACGAGCTAAGTGACGTAGTTTACCCCTGACATGTTAACCTACAGATGTCACACATTCACTAAGACCACACAGACCATGTATCTCTGCTTCTGCCTGTGCGACAACACGTATTTGAAAGGCTGAGAACGGTGTGAGAGTCACACCTGATGCCATTTTGGGTGTAACTATGCGGCTGTGACATGTGCGTGTAGCTATGGCTTTGGTGACTCAATGCTTTTCCCGTTTCCCAGGGCCCCGAGGACTGAGGAGGGGTACAAGCCTTGCTGTGTAACGCCCTGGGTGCCCCAACTACTCTCTATTTTCCTGTCCACTGCCGGCTTCTCTCCACGTCTCATGCAGTCCCTTTTCCCTCACTGGGGGGAGGGGGGTCATGGATCCTAAGCCATAAAATAAATTTTATTCCAAAATAACAAAATAAATAATCTACTGTACACAATCTGAAAAGAAAGACACTCTAAGTGTTTTGACAGGTGCTGCATCCCTGCTGGCCTGAGGAGACCCAGGGTCCAACCCAGGCCTCTAAGGGGCTGGTCCGAGGGGAACTGTGGGGGAACCCTCACACACAGTACAAGAACGAACTGCTGGGAGGAATGGGCAGGGGGATGAGAATGGGCGGGCAAACCGCAGCACTTGTTAAATTAAAGAAACCAACTAGAAGCACAAAAAAAAAAAAACAAAAAAAAAACGGGGAGGGGAGACCCAGTTTTCCCAGGCCCCCCAGTCTCAGGGCCAACGGTGCCATCTTCAGTGGCTAGACCTTTCCAGGAAGTTCTTCCCACATGTCCAAGCTGGACTCCAGCGGCTCCTACCACTGGTGGACACCTGGAGAATGGGTGTGTGTGGTGAGGGGAGGGAGAGCCCCAGCAGACTGGAGGCAAAGTCCATGCCCCTGAGCCGGGTGAGGGCGCACCTTGCACCCTCCTGGTGCCATCTGGCCAGGCCCTTGCTTGTTATTGCTTGAAGCCCCATAGTCCTGTGCCCATGGGGCAGATGGGTGGCAGAGGGGCAGCAGAAGGATCCTTCTAGGGTGGTGACTAGAGTCCGGAGAACGCGGTGGGGGGGGTGGGGGTGGGGAGTCTAAGTGAGCCAGAAGCCTGGGTCCTGGGTCTGAGACATCCCCACTTTTCACTGCCGGCTGGCCTCTGCCTCCACTTTCACACTGCTCCTGCGACCCTCCACCAGAGCCGGATGAGGTCCTGGGGCCGGGCATCGGTCCAGCAGGCCTTCCTCGAATTCTGTAGGGGAAAAAAGGTGTAGGTCAGGAGACAGGGGTGGAGGCTGAGCGAGGCCAGGTACAGAAAAACGCACGCGGAAGACAGATGGCGGCATCTGCCCCATTTACTCCATTACTGCCTCCTGCCCACTGCGTGTGTATGGGGGTTCCATGCCCAAGTGTATGTGGCTCCCCCTCTTATTTTGGTTGTGTGTAGCTTCTCTGTCTCTGTCTCTCTCTCTTTCTCTGTCTCGCCCGCCTCTGCTCTGCTGGAATTTCTGGTTCTGTCAGGAGCTGCGGGGGCGGCTTGGCTCTGACCTCTCCCCCTCCCCCCTCCCCAGGCTCAGCCACCCCCAACTCATCTCTGGCCCCCTCCCAGGCCTCACCCACCCTACAAATACCGCCCCCTCCCCCCGGAGTTTTTGGTAGCCAAATCAGGGGAAACACAGGAAGCTAGACTCCCAGCTTCTCCCTCAAGAAAAGCCCCCCCCCTCCAGTCCCCGCCCCCACTCCCCACCCACGCAGAGTTTAAAAATACCAAGCCAGGGTTGGTGGCTTTGTCTACTGCGTCACACTCAGCCCAGCGGCTGCCCGGCCCTCTACCGGCCCCACTCCTTTCCTATCCACACACAAAGCGCCCAGCTTTGGGCTCCTTGGCTTCCAAGCTGGGGAACCCTATCCCCACAACTCCCCATGACTCCACCCCCCCCACCCTGCATTAAGCTATTCTTGCCAGGCTCCCCTTGCTGCTGACTCTACTGTTCACCCCTCATTCTGTTCTCTGCTCCCCATCCAAGATCCCCACCTGGGTCAGACCCTCCCCAATGGAAACGATCCCACGGTAGCTTGCCGCCCCCCCCCCCCCCCCCCCCCCCCCCGCTCAAGGTCTGGCTAGCTGGAGCCCCTTCTACTGGTCTGTCTGTCGTATCCCTCCTCTTCCTCCCCTCTGGTCCTAGAAAACGAGGACCTGGTGTGGGCCATGTAGCTGGGGTGCTTGGGGACAGCACTGCCGCTGCCTCACCTGCCAGAGGCGGCTTCGCAGGCACACAGGGGCTGAGGCGGCCCACGCGGTCGTGGGAGACGAGGCGGGCGAGCCGCAGCCCCTCATCCATCAGTGTCTGCTGCAGGATGTGGCGGCTCCACAGCCCATGCGCTGGCAATGCCAGGGGCAGGTCAGCAGGGGGCGGCGTCAGCCTTGGGCACGACCCCACAGCTGTGGGCATGGGCACTGGTCAGGTCAGGGGGCTGCCGCCAACGGTACCCACCCTCAACCGACAACTCACTCCCATAGGTCCTTCTGCCCCATCCAGCCAGACCTCCCAGCCCGATTCCAGGCAGCTGACTCTTGGCTCGCACCTGCAACCCACCCACCCACTCCCACCTCCTCCCAAGGTGAAGGACTTGTAATGCACTCACCCTGTAAGTGGCCATCTAGGCTCTCCCCAGACAGACTGGCGCTGTCCTCCTCTAGGCTGGGACGGTATGGGGGTGCATAGGACTCAGGGCCTGGGGGAGGCTGCTGGATTTCAGTATGACTCTGTTCCCCAACCTGTGGACGCCCAAAATTAGGAAATGAGGTCTTAGCAAGGCTGTGGTTGGGGTAGGCTGTCCTTCCCTGCCCTCCCCCACCCCCAACACCATACCTCTTGTTTCAGTTTCTTCAGTGGTGGGCCTAATAATTCTTCAGAGTGGAGCCTAGGAGAATAAAGAAGGTGGGATTAGGGAGGGCCCCAGAATGCACAGAGCACACAATGTGGCCAGGAAATAGGCATTACTTAAAAACTCCACAAAGCTGCTGGTTGGATAGGAATCTCCAGTCAGTCATTACTGTGGGGCTTGGGAGTACAGAGCAGGCCTCACACAAGCTAACTTGGCATACGACATGCAGGGTGGGTGGGAGGCAAGCCTAGAGCTGCCCGAGCTGAGCTGCAAGGTAGGGAGACTTCCAAGTCCTTGGCAGGATTCCAACCAAAGGCGGCCCAGGGAAAGGGGGTCTCACCTGGATCCCTTCAAGGAGGAAAGGTAGGTGCTCTCTCGGGCTACTTGGCGCGACAGGGAGAAGAGTTCTACCCTTCGAAGTAAAAGCGTGTTGTCCCTCATGCAGAACTGGGCTGCAGCCTCATTGATGGTCAGCTGTGGCAAGAGGGTAGCCAGTGTGAATCCCGACTCTCCCGCTTCACCCCCTCACCACCAAAGGAGGCCCATCCAAAGGATGCTTGCTTTAAAAACAAAGCCCAGGCTTCCTGAGGGTAGAGGGTAGGGTAGGGGGGACTCGGCATCCTGACTAGGGCCACCTCTATGTCTGGGGAGGCCTTCGGAAGCACAGGGCTGAACAGTTGGGCTTGCTGTTTCATGTTTCCCCTTCGGTAAAGCAGCATGTGGGGCCAGGAGTGTGGGGGACTTGGGTGGCCAAGGGGACCACGATACAGAGCTTGAGAATGCAAGAATCCTCAGAGGCGAAGGGACCGAACCCCTGGAGTTAAGGGCGGTCCTGAGGAGCCAGGCCCTCACCTCATGCAAGCTAAGCTGTTTGCCTTCTCGTCTCTTGGAATCCAAGCGGCCGTAGATGACGCTGTACTTTCGGATCTCCTCTTCTTTCTGGCTGTCATTATCGTCCATCTCAAAGATGTGGCCCACACTCCGAGCCAGCTTCTTATTCAGCTTCAGCAGGGATGTGACCTCTCCGGCATCACCCCTGGGGAAACTCCGGAAGATCCTCTCCACACTCTCCACCACCATCCGTACCATCTCTGGTTCCAGGCGGTCTGGACCACCCCCAGTCCCACCTGCAGCCATCCCCCCAGCCACAGTCCCCTCAGGGACTCCTCCCCCTGCAGGTGGGGAGAAAGGGGGTGACCCAGCCTCCTCTTCTCCTCCTGCTCCGACATCAGACTCTGGAGTGCTCTGGCCTGGCCAGATCCGGGGATCCCCTGCCCCAGGTCCTCCGGGAAGCGGCGACAGCTTCTCTCCAAGTTCAAGGGGACTCTTGGGGCTAAAACTTCGGGTGCTGCCTGCCTTTTCTCCCGGGCTCCCATGCCCATTGCTCATGCTCCCTTTCCGAGTACCCGCCGTCTCAGAGATCTTGAAAAGTGGGATGCTGGAGACAGGTACAGCAGGCACAGGCTGGCTGAAGAGCCCTGGGTTGGTGGCCCATTCTCTCAGAGCTTTCTGCAGACGTCGGACATGGAGTGGTTTGGTGGCCATGCCCACCAGTGCCATGATTTCCAGGAACTCCTCCTCACCCGCTTCACACAGCTGCTGCACATCGTCCCCTCCCTGCTGGATGAAGGTCTCGTAGTAGGAAAGGAGGTTGGCACGCTGCAGGACCCGATACAGCTGCAGCTCACCCAGTGTTCGAGGCAGGGCCATGGCTGGAGCACTTGCCCTGAGAAGGAAGGGCAGGAAAGAGGCAGTGAGTACAAGTGCCCCTGCTGGGTACCAACCCACACTAACAATTGTCCTCTCTTTCCTGCCTCCTCCTCATCCCTGCTCTCTTTTGAATGCTTTACTCTGCCCAGTGCCCAAGGCTGAGCACACTGAGAACTGAGCATTGCTCAGAGGCATAGCCATGCCCATGCCGTCCCAGACTAGCCAGAAGCACCGAAAGCCAGTGGTGCCCTATCTACAGCTCTCCGGAAAACCCTTACCTCATCTTTCACTTTGATCTTTCTGGTCTGGGGCAGCACAGTCTTGAACACTGAGGCCCACCAGCATTTCCCTGAAATGGCTAGACCCATCTTCCCCCAAATTACAGTCCTCACTTCTCCCCTAAACACTCAGCAGCCTCAACATTACTTAATGTAACATCCCACATTAAAGTTAACTCAGGAAACCAGGGGCTCTACTCCTTGCCCGGGTAGCTGAGAGGGAGGGGTGTGGCCTCTTCCTCGGCTTTTCAGTGAACCCTTGCTCCCCGGCCCTCCGTTTCTGGGATTAGAAGTTACCGCACCCTCCTAGTATCTGTCCCAACTTCCCAGGCTGCCCAGTACCCTTCAGTGGCTCCCCTCCCTTTGTGTGGCCCTTCCCACTCTTCAGCAAGCCCCTCTCTGCTTCTCAGGCAATGGGGGAGGGAAGCCTCGATTGTTCTGCTCTGGGCCGTTCTTCCCACACACTCCTACAGCGGCAGCGTCTGTGGGCGAAAACCGCCTGGGGGCTCCCGCCTACTCTCTTCTCCCTCGTTTTCCACCCTGATCTTCGGAAGGGAGTGGCGGGAGCGGCTAAAGGCCTCTTGAGGAAGGGGCTGCACACGGAGACTACCCCCTCCCTACGCTGTGGTCACTTAATGAGAAGGGACGCCCGAAGCACACCCCCCAAACGAACCACCTTCTCCCGGACCTAGGGATGGCGCGCTCCCTCCAGTGACCCACTAAGCCAGCTAAGCGCCCCCACCCCTCGCACTGTAGTCAGGTCAAGGTCTGGAGCTTCCCCTGGCGCTTGGGGACATTGCAGGGGGCTCCCGTGCCAGGTCATGCCCACTGAGCAAAGTCTGGAATGGAAAACGAGGCAGTACTCTATCGATAGTCTCCAGGTTCCTCGGGTCTTTGTTTGCTCCTAAGGTCCCCTAATTTGAACACTCACCCCCTTTTCCCATCCGTCTCCACCTCCCACCCCCGTGCCGCTTCTTCATGTCCTCTTTTCGACCTCCACCCTCCGGACCCCCAGTCCCGAGTCCAGCTCCACCCACCTCCACTCCCCGACACCTCCTTTTGCTCACTAACTTGAGTCTGGGCTGCGGGGTCCGGCGAGTGTTATCCCCTCGGCCAGGAGGCTGCTCCGCTGTGGGAGAGGGTGCTCTGTGGCATGGGCGGCCAGGGACCACCCGTGCCTCCCCTCTCCGTTCCCGGCGCCTGCTGCCCGCTGCGCTCTGCCGGGCGGCGCGCGTCCCCGGTCCACCGCTGTCCGGGCTCCGTCCCTCCCTCCACGTCTCCTCTCTCCGAGCCTCCGCGCCTGTGTGTGTGTGCCTCTGCCCCCACCTCCCCGGCTGCGCTTGCCGCCTCTCCGCGCCTCCTCCCCCGCAGGACGCACGGGGGAGCGAGGCCGGGCGCTGCGCTGGCTGCCGGGCTGGCGGGAGGAGGGGCGTGGGCAGAACCGGGGGCTGGGACCGGAGGCGGGGGGTGGGAGCCGAGGCCTCTGGGCCTCCGAGAGGCTGCTGCGGAGACGGAGGGGAGGAGACTTGGGGGGGTGGGGAGGTGTGGAGTAGGAGGCGGAGGCGGGGACTCAAGAGTCGGGCGCCAAGTTGGGGACCGAGGTGACCAAGGCTGGGCTGTGGAGGGGAGGGGAGGGGAGCTTGGGGGACCCAACAGGCGGGGCAGGTCGCTCCGCGCCGCCCACGCCGGATGCACAGCCGGCCCTCTCTGCGCCCACGTACCCACGTGAGCGCCCCGCCGGCTACATTCCTACTCCCTGCACCACTCCTACCCCCTGTGAGCCGAGAGCGCGGTTTCACAACCACGCACAAGTATACAAAGACACAGGAGCGCACGTACGTGCACACGCGTCTAAACAACAACGCGGACGCCCGCAGTTGCCCACGCTCCGGCCGCGCCGCCGAGCCGTTCGTTTGAATGCTTAGAAGTGAGCGGTGAAAAAGTTGGCGAAGGCTCGGCTCCCCTAGATGGTACGCTTAGGGTTAAACCTGTGAGCGCCGGGCTGCGCAGGAATCCCTACGGAGTCTCAGCACCCTTCTCTGGCCCTACAAGTTGTAGATTTGAAGAGGCGGCCCTCAGAAACCTTGGTCGCCTCCCTCCCTCCCTTGCATCTAGTTGTCGAAGTTTACCTAGGTGGGTTATACTGGAGGCTACAACTTACTCGAGCGTCGATTAGGCACGTCGGGGTTGGCTAGGTAGGGCAGGGATGGGGGATGCCATGCCTTCCTCTATCCGTGGCACCCTATTTTCTGATGACCAGGCCTTATGGCTTGGACGATGGGGTGGCCAAGCCAGGGAAAGGCGGCTACCTTGTCTGGGGTCCTACGTTACCGGACATCTCCGGACAGCGTGATGGGAGGTGAAGGAGAGGCTAGGCTAAGTCTACGAGACAGCCCACCGTGGAGGAGGAACGCCTTCAAGGAGCCCAACCCCCTCCGTTTCTTCTAGCCCCATCTGGTTCCCATTACGCACGCCCACGGCTGGGAGGGCCGGGGGGGGGGGGTATTGGGCACGCGGGGGCTGTGTAGGCCTGGGGGGGAAAGGGGTGGTGGGGAGCGTGGCGGCCTGGCCAGAGGCAACGTCCCTGTAGTTGGAAACCTCAGCTCCGCCCCTCTGCTCCGCACTTGCGAGTGGCTTGCCCTGGCAGGGCGTGGGCGGCGTGGGCCGGGGCGGGTTCTACATTCCAGATTCATTCCAGACTGGCGAGTGGCGGGAGGGGGGTGTGGGGGGGATCTCTCGGTTTCCAGTGGAGGGATGGGTTACTTTATCGAGGAGGAACGATCCCAATAGCTTAGGGTTTTGTCTTCATCACATTTAACGCCCCACAGAGTAGAGAGATGGGAGGGAGGAGCTGGTATGGAGGGCGCGACTAGACGGCCTCCCTTGGAGGTGCTCCCGGACCCTTCGGTGCGTGTGTGTGCGCGAGTGTGTGTGGCACCCCTCCCCCACTCCCCGTCCGGTTATTTTGGAGTCTGGGCTGCCAGCGCCGGCCCCGGGTTTCCTCGTGCCCCCGCCCTCCCCCTGCCCACGCTCCCCGTGACGCACATCCTCCGCCCACGCGGCTTTCGCTCCAGGCACCCCCCTCCCTCCCACAGGCCCCCTTGGGGTGGCACCGAGTCCTGGGGTCTAAGGAGAGAGGGCAGCCGGTGCAGCGGTAGGGGGTGGGGAAGAGTAGGGCTTGAAGCCAGGGAGCTGGAGCTCCCTGGGCGCCTGGTCCGGGTCCAGGAAAGAGGGTGATGGAGGGGGAAGCCGGTTCTCAGGCCCTCGCTCCCGGGTTTGGGTCCAGAAAAGGAGGAGAGGGGACCGATCTCGCTGAGACACTTGTCCGGGTCCCTTTGGAAGTCGGAATGGGTCCCGATGCGAACCTGTGAGAGTGAAACTACCGGGTATCCTCTGTAGCTTCGCTTCTCAGGACTTGCCGTGGGGTTTAAGCAGAGACTGTGTGTGGAAACTGTCAATGGTAGAACGCTGGTCCGATCGAAGACTGTTGACGGTGTTCTGAGTTTACGTGTTTGTTTCTTTATCTCTACTTGTGTATCTGTGTGTCTGTAGGACCGTATCCGAGTCCTTATGTGTGTATTTTAAAATACATACGTTAAAAAAAAAATACAAAAAGCAACGTCGACTTGTCAGGCCCCACCAGAGGCCCAGAGCGCCCCCGCAGCCGGAGCTGCTGAGATGTCTGTTCTTCGCTTTCCTCCCACTGCTAACCACCCCCACACACCCGCCTACTCTCTTCCGCTGAGAACAAGGAATTTCCAGCCTTTAGCAAAGTGTGTGTGTGTGTGTGTGTGTGTGTGTGTGTGTGTGTGCGCGCGCTCGCTCGCGCACAGACAGGTGTGTGTTGGGGGTTGACAAAAGGGGAGTGGGGACAATTTTTTTTTTTTTTTTTTTTTTTTGCATTTCTTTTTCGGCCCGGACTCTCAAGACCACATCCTTACCTGCTTCCCCAGCCCTCCCACCCTCAGTCTCAAAGGCAGAATAGACCAACTGATGTCATTTAACCAAAGTTTTAAGGTTCCCCTTTATTGTCTACAGTGGTCTGTCTGTTCTAGGAAGGGAAACTATCCCCAGTCGTAGTTCTTAAGGAAAAGGGGGGATGAGACTGAAGAAGGGGGAGAGTGGGTGGAAGAGGAGTGAGGATACTGCGTGCCAGGATTGTCTTCTCAGGCACGTGGAGATTTTCATCTAGCAGATTGCTCCGCTCACTCCTCCCCCCACGCCGTCACCTCACCCTGCCAAATGAGACTCCCGCACCTCCCTGCCTCGGACCTCACTCCCTTCTGGACCCTCCTCCCCCTTGCTTCCAGGCAGAATTAATTCCTCCCACCCTCTGTGGGTGACATTGTTTTCTGTGTCCTTTAAGAAATGTGTTTTATTTCATGTGTGTGTGTGTGTGTGTGTGTGTGTGTGTGTGCACCACATGTATGCAGGAACCCACTGGGCTGGCACATGGATGCTGGAAACTGAACCTGGATCCTCTGCAGGAGCAGGGAGTGCTCTTAACCCCCAGCCATCTCTCCAGCCTACCCTGCCGCTTAAAAATATTTTATGTGGCCGGGCGGTGGTGGCGCACGCCTTTAATCCCAGCACTCGGGAGGCAGAGCCAGGCGGATCTCTGTGAGTTCGAGGCCAGCCTGGTCTCCAAAGCGAGTTCCAGGAAAGGCGCAAAGCTACACAGAGAAACCCTGTCTCAAAAAACAAAAAAAAACAAAAACAAAAACAAAAATATTTTATGTGTACCTGGGTGTATGTATGTGCACCATGTTTTGTGAAAGACCTCACAGAGGTCAGAAAAGTCATTGGATCGTCTGGAACTCGAGTGACAGATCATTGTGAGCTGCCATGTGGGTGTTGGAAACTGAACTCAGTCCTGAAAAGCAGTACCCCTTAACCACTGACCCATCGCTCCAGCTTGCCCTGCCACCCCCCCCCCCCCGTTTGTTTTTGAGGCAGGGTCTTTCTATGTAGTCCTGGGTTTCACTATGAAGCCAGACTGGCTTTGAACTCACAAAGATTTTCCCTGCCTCTCTGCCTCCTGAGTGTCAGGATTAAAGGTGTGTTCCCCCCACCCCCACCCCAACTCTGTAACCCTGACTGGCCTGGAGCACAGTATGTAGACCAGACTGGGTTCAAATTCAAAGATCCATCTGCCTCTGCCACTGGAGTGCTGAAATTAAAGGCTGGCACAACCAAGACAGTTTTCTGTGCCCTGCCCCCCTTTAGTTTACAGTGAGCCTTGTAAGTCTAGCTTGTTGATATCCTGAGATGTCCACTAAGCTGGTAAATTAATATACCAAGTACTCTAGGTAGAAGGCTTAAATCCTTGCTGGGATTCAAAAAATACAAATAAAAAGTAATGAGACTCCTTTCTCCATTTTGAATACTATGCCAGAATTCATCATTTAGGAAGTGCTACTCTTGGATTTACTTTGCAAGAAATACTTCACCTCTCAAAAGTCATCCTAGCCTGCACCTATAAGGAACTCACAGGCTGATAGAAGAAATCACTATGCAAACAACAACAGTGAATAATTGGAGATAAATATAAAAGGTGAGAGGTCTAGTCTTTTGTGGGAATTCTTTTTGCTTTTTGAATCATTTTAGAAAGATTCATTTATTTATTACCTATACAGTGTCCTGCCTGCATGTATGCCTGCACACCAGGAGAGGGCACCAGATCCCCATTACAAATGGTTGTGGGCCACCATATGGTTGCTGGGAATTGAACTCAGGACCTCTGGAAGAACAACCAGTGCTCTTAACCTCTGAGCCATCTCTCCAGATCTTTTGTGGGAATTCTGACCAGCAATGATCACCTCACCCTCTCCACTCCACCCCTGCTTCCACCCCCTCCCCACTGCTGTCAGGCTGCCTGTTTAAAGGACTGAGATAGAGCCAGGCGGTGGTGGTGCACGCCTTTAATCTCAGCACTCGGGAGGCAGAGGTCGATCTCTATGAGTTCGAGGCCAGCCTGGTCTATAGAGCGAGATCCAGGAAAGGCGCAAAGCTACACAGAGAAACCCTATCTCGAAGAAAAAGAAAAAATTGAAGTATGAATAGAAGTTTTCCAGGAAGAAAGGCAGTCAAATAGAGAAAGACAAGAATATTGGCTTGCATGGAGGCATGAAACAAAACCAAATTTTTCAGGAACTAGAAATTAAAATTCACTGCTGTGGGTGGTGGCTATTAGAAATGAAGATTGTGTAAGGCCATTACATTAAGGTTGGTTATAGATCATTGTGTCTGAAGCTGTGGTTTGGGACCAGACCAGTTATAAAAATATCCAACCTAGTCCTGTGCTCTGTTTTTCATTTTCCTTAATTTTCCAGCTTATGGTTGGTGCCTGCCTGTGTGTCTCTGCCACCTGTGTGCAACGCCCAAGGGAGCCAGAAGAGGGTGCTGGATCCCTGGGACTGGAGTTAGAGACAGTTGTGAGCCCCTTGTGGGTGTCGGGGAACAAACCCAGGTCCTCTGGAAGAACAAGTGCTCTTCACTGCTGAGCCATCTCTCCAACCCCTCCTTCAACTGAAAAAAAAATTTTTTAATTTCTTTTAATTTTTGAGACAGGGTTGTATGTCGCCCAGGCTAACCTTGAACTTGGCCTCCTGCAACCCCTGTATTCCCAGCACTGAGGTTGTGGAGCTGTGCCAGTCTGCCTAACTGTCCCTACTACTATAAAACACACTGAAGGTGCACTAAAGATGACTCATATCCAGTAAACGTAGAGCTTCTTTGTTAAGTTGCTATTAATCTTTTAAAATAGGGCTGGAGAGGCGACTCGGCAGTTAAGAGCACTTCCTGCTCTCCAGGAGGCCCCGAGTTCAGTTCCCAGCACCCACATCAGGTGGCTGACAACTACCTGTAACTCCAGCTCCATAGGATCTGACGCCCTCTTCTGGCTTCTGTGGACACCTACACTCACATTCTATACCCCCACACAGACACTCACACATAGGTATGAGAAAAACAAAACAAAAAATCTTCTATTTAGTCAGGCGTGAGGCAGAGGCAGAGGCAGGTGAGCTCTGTGAGTTTGAGGCAACCCAGGCCTACAGAGGGAGTTACAGGTCACCCAGGGCTGCATAGTGAGACCGTATGTTAAAAAAAAACAAACAAGCCGGGCGGTGGTGGCGCACGCCTTTAATCCCAGCACTCGGGAGGCAGAGGCCGGTGGATCTCTGTGAGTTCGAGGCCAGCCTGGGCTACCAAGTGAGTTCCAGGAAAGGCGCAAAGCTACACAGAGAAACCCTGTCTCGAAAAACCAAAAAAAAAAAAAAAAAACAAAAACCAACAAAACAAAAATGACAAAATGTTTCTAAATATACTTGGTTTCTGAAATTTTCTCCATTTGATGAGTATCAGATATCAAACGGCATCAAACATTGAATAGTGTTATAGTTATTTCTTTTTAAAATATGTGTGCGTATGGATGTTTTACCTGCGTGTGTGTCTGTGCACCATGTGTGCAAAGTGCTTGTAGAGGTCGGAAGAGGGTGTTGGACAGTCCGGAATTGACATTACAGATGTGTGAGCAGCCATGTGGGTGCTGGGACTCTAACCCGGTCCTCTGGAAGAGCAGCCGGTGCTCTTAACTGATGAGCCATCCCCAGCTGTAGTTTCTTTACAGCTGGTTAGAGACACGGTGGAACCATAAAGATTCTAACAGGGAGTGGAAGGGATAGGCCTGCATTTAGGAGAAGGAAGGACAACGTGTGTTTCAGAAACACTAGGAAGGACAGCAAGATGGCTCACAGGGCAACTTCCAGGACCTGTGTGAAGGTGGAGAGAACAGACTCCACAAAGCTGTTCTCTGACCCCGCCCTGCGCCCCAAGCGGGTGAGGCAGAGAGATGCCTCGGCTCAGCGAGTAAACTCACCTGCTTCTAGGCCGAAGTCTTAATTCCATACCGGTGACTCACATGGTGGAAAGAGAGAGCCAGTTCCTGCAAGTTGTCCCCCGGCCTCCACATGCGCTCCCTCCCCTAAGTAAGTTTAAAGAAGTAACTGAAATTTTTAAAAATTAGGGAGGAAAGCGTGAAAGAGAGTAAAAGACTTTCTCACTTGAAAATGCCAGTCAGAGTGTCAAGGTGCTGGGTGGCGTCAGCGGCGAGGGAAAGGGCAGACTGAAAAGACAAAACACAAAAGCACTGGGATTTGGTGATTGATTGGTTCACTTATAGTCACCAAAGAGTCATCGTCTTCAATCCTTTACAATTCTTGTTTGTTTGTGAGACAGGGTTTCTCTGTGTAGCTTTGGAGCCTGTCCTGGAACTCACTCTGGAGACCAAGCTGGCCTCAACTCACAGAGATCCGCCTGCCTCTGCCTCCCAAGTGCTGAGATCAAAGGCGTGCGCCACCACTGCCTAGCTCATCCTTTACAATTCTTACATCCAAAAACTGTGATAAATAATTTTTTTCATAACCTAGTTCTGGAGGCTGGGGATATAGTTTCATGGTAGAGTACTTGCCTAGCTCGTAGGAGACCCTTTTCGGTCTCCAACATAGAAACAAACAAACAGTCAAAACCAAGCCCATCCACTCTGACCAGAACTCATTTCATGACAGAGAACTTGAACAAAACCCGCAGAAGTACACTTTTATTCATCCTCTTTCATTTGCCTTAGCACGACACCACTACTCATAGATATTATTACAGAAACACTGACTGTGTTGTCCTAGATGACATTAGGATTGCTCTTGCCAGGCAGTGGTGGTGCACGCCTTTAATCCCAGCACTCAGGAGGCAGAGCCAGGCGGGTCTCTGTGAGTTCGAGGCCAACCTGGTCTACAGAGTGAGATCCAGGACGGGCACCAAAACATCAAGACTACACAGAGAAACCCTGTCTCAAAAAACCAAAAAAAAAAAAAAAAAAAAAAAGGGTTGCTCTTTTATATAGTGAATATGCCCCATGTTATCCTTCTAAATTCAAAAAAGTTCTCAAGCGTATTTACCATCCATATTTCATACCTATTTACTCATCAGTCTTGGCCTGAGTTCTTTTGGCTATTTTCATAAGTGAGAGCCACCTGCAGATAATGAATATTCATTGTAGCTTTTGCTATATAAAATGCTGAAGGTGATTCTTGAAATGTTTTGAGCAGTATCTTCAGTATTAAAAGAAAGACACAAGCCAGGCAGTGGTGGCACACGCCTTTAATCCCAGCACTTTTGGGAGGCGGAGGCAGGTGGATCTCTGTGAGTTCAAGGCCTGGTCTACAAAAAGAGTTCCAGAACAGCCAGGGCTGTTACACAGAGAAACCCTGTCTAGAAAAACCACAAATAAATAAATCTAAAACAAACAAACAAAAAACCCAAAAGAACATAACCAAGAAATGAAGAAAGGGCCTAAAAGAAAAGGGAAGTGTGCCAGGCTGGTGACACATGCCTGTAATGCCAGCACGTGGCAGGCAAAGGAAGAAGGATCGCTGAAAGTTTGATATTAGTCTATACAAATTCCAGGACAGCCAGGGCCATATAACCAGACCCTAGCTTAAAAAAATGCACATATATAAAATCTATATATGTCACATGAATTCGCATCCATATATTTACATACACAAGTGCATTGCTAGAATTTACTTTTTAAAAATAGCTTTGACTTACTTGAACACTGAAAGGATAGTGGAGACTTTCCATATATCTGCATCGATTTCCCCCTTATTATCTTCCACTGATAGGGTACATTTGCCACCCTTAGTGTATATTACTCATACTAAGAAAAACAAGCTTAGCCCGGCGATGGTGGCACACGCCTTTAATCGCAGCACTCGGGAGGTAGAGACAGGCGGAGTTCAAGGCCAGCCTGGTCTATAGAGCGAGTTCCAGGACAGGCTCCAAAGCTACAGAGAAACCCTGTCTTGAAAAAACAAAACAAAACACCAACCAACCAACCAAACAAAAAACCCCCCAAAAACCAAACCAAACCAAACCAAACCCCAAGCTTATGTAGTGGGTAGCTGTTCCAGCCTTGACCTTGAAACACTGCCCCTAGTGGTAACTGCCACATCTGACCTGCTCCTGGGACATGGTGGAGAAGGAGACCCCTTAAGATCCTAGGTGCTTTCATGCTTCTCTCTCCCCTCTCCCCTCTCAACCGACCCCTTATTGGCTGTAAGTTACCCCAGAAATAAACCCCTCTTGATTACCAGATAAACTATGTGGAATTGCCTCGTTAATAATAGTGATAAGCTTAACATTTTTCTTTTTAAAAGTTATCAGTTATGTCTTGCTATGTGTACACACGAATGCAGTGCCCTTAGAGGCCAGAAGAGGGCGGCAGAACCCCTGGAGCAGCAGTTACAAGAGGTAGTGAACCACCCAAAGTGGGGGTGCTGCAAGAGCTGTACATACTCCTAACTGTGGGGCTGGATCTGCAGCCCCTGTTCACAGTTTTGTCAATAGTTACTGAGCGCAAATCTGGTTTTTGGTGCATTAGGCTCCTTCCCACTACATGGCTTAACTTTTGTAGGCCAGGCAGAGTACATGTACACAAAAAACATGAGGCTCTGAAGGTGGGCAGGGAAGAGGTGACTCCTGCTTGTAATCCCTGTTTGGTTTCCTCCGGCTTGTGCCCCCCACTCCACCCCCCAGGTTCCAAGGTCTATGATATGACATTGCATGTAGTCTACTTACTCTCCCTTATGTGGGATAGCTTAAGTCTTCCCTTGTTTCAGATGAACTACTTTTGTCTTTGGCTTCCTTTTAAATGGAGTTGATAGACCCCCGTCTTGATTCTCACCTGTTTCGGTCCAAAACCCAAACCCCCGTGACTGATGCTTTATTTCTGTGGCGCTGGTGATGGAAAGCAGGGCCTTGAGCATGGTCCAGCTACATCCCCAGTCAAAAAAGGGAACTAAAATGATTTTTGGTGACTTGTTTTCTCGTGTTGGGGATCGAAGTCGGGGCCTTGCACATGCTTGACGTGCTCTACCACTGAGGTACATTCTCGGCTCTACCACTACGCTTTGTTTTTCCTACGACTACATTTTAAAACGTTGTTCATGCCTACAAAACCTTGACAGCGCACAGTAGTCCTGTACTTATGTTGAAATCTTTTCAGAACTTTGGCTGTCAATCGTTTTTACCTTAAAAAACTGTCACGTCAGAACCTTATTCGAAAAGGAAGAGTTACCATTGGCTTGCCCGTAATTAATAAAAAGACCGACGTAGAAAGGAAAGAAAAACCAAGAGGGAACGGAGTTTCGATGGGAAGACGCAGTCCAGGAGGGCCTCGCCCATTCTGGTTTCCTATTGGGCAAGCTCCCCATCCATCTCCCTTGTAAATAAACCGGGGACGGAAGCGGGTTGGGTAAAGGGTGGGCTCTTCCTGTTGCCATTGCTAGGGGGTTGGCGTTGTCAGGAGGCGTGGCTTTGAGGGGCGGGCCTCGCAGCTGATTGGCTGCCGGCGCCGCTTATCCGGGGGGACGGTTGCCGAGGAGGGGCTCGCGAGGAGGCGGCGGCGGCGTGAGGCACCCATGGCGGGAGGAATCAAAGTGGCGGTCTGGTCGGCCGTTGGTCCCGGGCCCTGGTGCTGCGGGGCCGGGGGCGGTGGGGTCGCCTGGCTGCTCTTAGTCCTCTTCGGCTGCGTGGTCTGCGGCTCAGGTACCACCCGGGCAGCCGCTGCCGGGAGGGCGGGTGCGAGGGCGGCGTCCTTCTCGGGAAAGTGGGTTTTATCTCCGGGGCGCGGCCCGTTACTCGGCGGGGCGGCGCGGGATGCCGAGGGACGCGCGTCGGGGGCCGGCGGTCGTCCGGACCGAGGGCAGGTCCCGGGGCTGCCCTCGGTCGGAGCCCGCCCGAGGAAGGGAGGCCTGGCCGGGCGGGACTGACGGCGTGGTGCTGCTGGGGTCCCCGGACGAGGTGTGGGGACCGTGAGAAAGAAACGCCCCGCGCACTCAGTTTACCCAGAACACCGCAGGGAGAGGTGCGTCCAGGCTCGACACTGTGGAATAGGTTAGACTTCTCCTAAACGGTTTCTCGAGACAGGTTTTCTCTGTGCAGCCCCGGCTGTCCTGCATCTCGCTCTGTAGCCCAGGCTGGCCTCGAACTCACAGAGATCCTCCTGCCTCTGCCTCCCGAGTGCTGGGATTAAAGGCGTGTGTCGCCACCACCGGCCCGGTGACTACTGCTCTTGTTAGGACCCTCCTCCAGAACAGCCCTGGGATGGTTATCGTCCAGTTGCTCAGAAAAGATAGACGGGCCACCGGCTTTGAGTAAGGGCATCTTTCCCTAAGTTTACTCTTTTCAAGCACGTTCATTTTGTACCTGCTGCTGAACAGTCAACTCTGGACTGGGTAGGAAACTTATTTTGTGCTCCCGTCCAGAAAAAAATTAAAAAGCTTGTAAGAAATAGATTATTATTATTATTATTATTATTATTATTATTATTATTATTATTATTATTATTCTCGTTAAAATTAGTGGACAGGAAAATAAGCGATGTTGGCCAACGTCCACTGGAGGGAGTAGCAACTCCAGAAAATAATCGGCGCTTATAAGCACACGTTATGTACTCATAGCGCCCCCTCCTGTTCCTGCCTATCACACGCTCTCGTTTGTGGCTTAGATCGTTTAACACACCCATAGTATGTTGTTCAAAAGGGACTGAAAACTTCTTTTTGCGAAGGGAGTAGGTGTCCAGGAAGGACACTTTGACAGATGCAGGGCCCAGAGGCCTAGAATAGCATTTGGAAGAACTAATATCTGAATGAACTTTTGGAATGGGGTCTTGGGTTGTGAGGAAATAAGAAAATATTAAGAACAATAAGCAAAGCCGGGCAGTGGTGGCGCATGCCTTTAATCCCAGCACTCGGGAGGCAGAGCCAGGTGGATCTCTGTGAGTTCGAGGCCAGCCTGGTCTACAGAGCGAGTTCCAGGACAGGTTCCAAAACTACACAGAGAAACCCTGTCTCAAAAAAACCAAACCAAAACAAGAACCATAAGCAGTTCCCATCTTTGAAGTTTCTTTTACAGGGTACTGGGGATTAAAACCTAAAGCAAAAAGCCAGGTTTAAGTGGCACACGACTTTAGTCTCAGCACTTGGGAGGCCAAGGTAGGTGGATCGTTTGAGTTTGAGGCCAACATGGTCTACGTAGTGAGTTTTAGGACAGCTGGCACTACAGAGTGAGGCCCTGCCTCAAAACAAACAATAAAAAGAACCCTAAAGCAAACTTTTCTGCCTGCTTGATTCCCTGCCCTTTTATTTAGTCAGGGTCTTAGCGTGTTGCTCAGGCTGCTTTGGAACTCACTGTGTAGTTCTAGCTAGCTTGCAACTCAAGATCTTGCTGCCTCATCCTCCAGAATTCTGGGGTCACAAGCATCACAGCCAGGCTCCAAAGTTCCTTCTGGGAAGGGAGGCTCAGGGCCTTTGCAGACAAGTAATCTCCAGGGACAGCTCAGGGAATGATGACCCGATTGTGTGTGTATCAGCCATAAAGAGCGTCGTGGTGGCGCACGCCTTTAATCCCAGCACTTGGGAGGCAGAGGCAGGTGGATCTCTGTGAGTTCAAAGCCAGTCTGATCTACAAAGTGAGTTCCAGGACAGCCTTGTTACACAGAGAAACCCTATCTCGAAAAGCCTAAAAAAAAAAAAAACAGTCTTGTGACTTCTTAAAAGCTAGGTGCTCAGGCTGGAGAGATGTCTCAGAGGTTAAGAGCACTGGCTGTTCTTCCAGAGATCCTAAGTTTAATTCCCAGCCACCACATGGTGGCTCACAGCCATCAGTAATGAGATCTGGTGCCCTCTTCTGGCATACATTGTATACATAATAAATAAATCTTAAAAAAAAAAAAAAAAAGCTAGGTGCTCAAATGGTAGAATGGAATTTTATTCAAAGGTTCATTTCTTGTCACTCTAAATTCTGGAAACATTTAATTCTAAGAATAATTGGTGTTTTTAGACTATTTGGCAAGTATTAATCCAGTTAGGTATAAAGAAGGAGGCAAAACCCTTGCAGTTTATTTCAGTTGTGTCTGTGTTCTTGTGTTGGAGCATATTCAGGAGGGTTCGTGTGCACATGTGAGCATGTGTAGGCCAAAGGTTGGGATCTGTTGTCTATGTAAATCCCTGTCTACCGTATTTTTGGGACAGGCTCCCTCACTGGGCCTGGATCTTAGAGATTTGGTTAGAGTTGGATCCATGAAACTAATAATGGAAGGTGATAACTGACTGCATTGTGTCCTCTGTTCTCCACATGTATACCAGGATGTGTACACACACATTCACATACATCCTACATATACACAGTAATGGTAACAATAAGATTAAAAAGAGATCGCTAAGGTTAAATTCATATTTTATATTTGGACTTTGAAGGATAAATTTTAACTTTACTAATATTAGTAGCAAAGCTGGGGATTGAACCTAGGGCCTCAGGCATTCAATGTTAGTGCTCTACCACTGAATTTCAGTTCTAGCCCTTTTAATTTATTTTTTGAACAGGGTCTTACTAAGGTATCCCTGCCTCTTTATTTTTAATTTATAATTTGTATTGGTGTGAGGTGAGGATCTGGTTTATTTTTCAAATAATCATTTGTCCCAGCATGTAATTTAATAATACTTTACTAAACCCACTTATTGAAGATGGTAAGTTTTAAAAACAGCTTTTATTAAATTTGTTCTTTGACAAATTCATACATGTGCTGTCTGTCTGTTCTGATTACCATTCCCTCCCACACTCTCTAGCCCCACTCAGCCCGTGCTCCTCCCTGCAAGTCCCTTTCCCTAATTCGTACACTTTTGTTTGCTTTGTCCCTGACTTTAGCTGGGGCCGTGGCTATGGTCATGGATTTGGAATTACCTAGTGGAGCCTAGAATGATGGCAGCTTTGGGGCTAGCTGAATCATGGTGGGTTAAGGTGGATTTTCTTTGGAGGAGGAGTGCAGTTGTCCTGGTTAGGGTTGTCATTGAAGTGATGAGACACAGCCTGCACCTCCACAGCACTGTCTGTTATGGAAGGACGTCAGGGCAGGGACTCACACAGGGCAGGAACCTGGAGGCAGGAGCTGATGCAGAGGCCATGGAGGGGAGCTGCTTACTGGCTTGCTCAGCCTGCTTTCTTTATAGAACCCAGGACCACCAGCTCAGGGATGGCACCACCCACCATAAGCTGGGCCCTTCCCTGTTAATCACTAATTAAGAAAATACTCTACATGCTTGTCTACAGCCCATTCATGTGGAGTTATTTTCTCAACTGAGGCGCCGTCCTTTCTGTTGACTCTAACTTATGTCAAGTTGCCATAAAACTGTCCAGCACAGCAGTTAACTTTTTTATTACGATTTATTATTTACTTATGATTGTGGGTGTGGGTGTGAGCATGTGTGCCACACAGCTTTCATGTGGAGGTCAGAGGACAACTTGTGGGAGTCAGATATCTTCATGTGAGTCCTGGGATAAAGCTTCAGACTTGGTGGCAAGTGCCTTTACTTGCAGAACTATCTTATTGGATATCTGTGTAAGATATAATATTGGAGAATTTAATTTATTTAATTATTTTCTGTGTATGAGTGTTTGCATGTGTGTCTGTGCACCATGTGCATGCCTGGTACCATTGAGGCCAGAGGAGGGCATCAGATTCCCTAGAACTGAAGTTAGAGATGGTTATAAGCTACCATACGGGTGTTGGGAATTGAATCCTGGTTCTCTGGAAGAGCAGCTAGTGCTCTTAACTGCTGGGCCATCTCTCCAGCCCTCATCGTACAGATGTTGCCCGAATCTAAAAGGTCGTATTAATAAAAACAAACCTGGGAGCCAGGTATTGGGGTGAATGCTGGAAGATCAGAGAAGCAGAACAAGCCACAGCTACCTCACCTTGCCAGTTCCTCAGCTGATCCTGTTTGCTCAGACTGGAAACTCCTGTGTCCTTGTCCAAATCGATCTCAGCTGAACTGCTGCTCAAAAGCCTAAAAGCTTAACCAGCTCTAGTTCCTGGTCCTCGCGCCTTATATACCTTTCTGCTTTCTACCATCGCTCCTTGGGATTAAAGGCTCACTTTCTCAGATTAAAGGTGTGAGTCACCATGCTTGGCTGTATCCTTGAACACACAGAGATCCAGGTAGATCTCTGCCTCTGGAATGCTAGGATTAAAGGCGTATGCTACCATTGCCTATCCTCTATGTTTAATATTGTAGCTGTTCTGTTCTCTGACCCCAGATAACTTTATTAGCATGCACAATATTTTGGGGAATACAATACCACCACTTTTCCCCTTTTTTGTCTAAAATTAAAAAAAGCTTATAACTAATACAAGAAAAACTATATCCAATAAATATATACAATATATACAGTCAAGAATTACATTAACAATGTCTAGTCCATTAACGTTTGACAGATTCAGACGAAAAACTTCATTAATATATAACAATGTCCAGTCCAGTAACATTTGATAAACTCAGACAAAATATTTCATTACTTATCCTATTTAAAACAAGTAGTTCCTTTTTAAAAGTAGATTTTATATTTTAATAATTGACCTTTTTTTTTTTTTTTTTTTTTTTTTTGGTTTTTCGAGACAGGGTTTCTCTGTGTAGCTTTGCGCCTTTCCTGGAACTCACTCGGTAGTCCAGGCTGGCCTCGAACTCACAGAGATCCGCCTGGCTCTGCCTCCCGAGTGCTGGGATTAAAGGCGTGCGCGCGTGCGCCACCACCGCCCGGCAATAATTGACCTTTTTATCTTATATCCATATTCCCTTTTTTCTTTTCATAATAGATTCAATAATCTACCTATTGTCATTTTTATATCTTCCCCTTTTTCTTTTTAGAGTAGATTCATTGATCTTCCCATTTATCCTGTTATTCCTTTATTTTTTTTCTCAGAGTAGAGTCAATGATCTACCTCATATCTATATTCTCTTCTTTCTTTTTCCTTTTTTTTTTAAACAAAACCTCTGAATCTAATCTCCATGTTCAGCTTTTGGTTGTGAGCCTAGCCTTTAACGGCTGAGCCATCTCTCCAGCCCCCATGTTCAGCTTTTTTCCTGACAATAACAATTAACAACTTGTAACCAACCATTGTAAACAATGACAATATCCATAACTCATTAAATGATGAAAAATCACCCACCCCACCTCTTGGGTATGTGGACGTCATGTTCTTAAAATTACTTCCTGCTTTCTAGGGGCGAAGACATCTTTAGGGGATCCTGAAAAGAAATTTTTGGGGGTGTTAATTGTCAAGTCCTGTATCATTTGTCCACTCTCTGCATAATGGGAAATTTCAGGGTTTGTTACAAGTCCTTGTTCGAGTAGTCCGTCAGACTGGATCATCTCAGCTAGCCATCTCAAGATTGTTCTGAGTAGTTTGTAGTCCAAAGCTGATCTTTCTGTGGAATCATCTTTGTGGGGTCCTGTCATCCTTTTGAAGATTTCAAATTTGGTGTTAGGTGTGGTCATGGTTCCCTGCAGGCTTTTTTTTTTTTTTTGTGCCTCCTATGTGGTTTGGAGCAATCACAGTCTGATAAATGTCTGTCTGTCTCTTGGAACCATGAGTGTTCTTCCCTAGAAGAGAAAATCTTCACAGCAATTTCTCCCCACCATTTGTCTTGCCAAACTTTTCCAAACTGACCTTTGCCGATGCTCTCTTGTAATTCTTCTCTGAACAAGCAGCAGTAAACCCTTCGTCCCAGGTAGCAGCATCACCGCAGTCACCAACACAAAAAGAAGCAGCCGGCGACTTGGAGCAGCAGCCGCTGCCTCCATGGTCCCACTGCTACAGCTTGTGGCCAGGTTCCGGGCCGAAACTTTTCCTTAGCAAGCCTCCTAGGTCGGCCTCAAACTCGGGATCCTCCTGCTTTTGCCTTCTTCAGCAAATCCTGCTGGCGTGAGCCACCACAACCGGCTTTTTGTAGCTCAGATCTGAGCTGGGGCCCACAAGGCCACAGGCAAGCAGCTTTTTCTTGAATTCAAACCATGAACATTGGGCGCCAGATGTAGCAGGAGTCTTAAAAGTTCTTATTAATAAATTTATTTATTTATTTATTTAGAGGCAGAGTCTCACTATGTGGCCTTGGCTGGCCTGGTGCTTGCTATGTAGACTAGGCGAGCTTCAAATTCACAGAGATCCACCAGTCTCTGCCTCCTGAGTGCTGGGGTTAAAGGAGTGCACCACTGTGCACTGCCCCATTGTAGAATGTTAAAGTTAGAGTAACTTTCCTGGCATTAAATGTTTCAAGTGGCTGGCATTACCGACACATTCTTTGTGTCTCACCACCCGCTTGATGACAGTAATGGACTTTGAAAGGCGAGAGAACAGTTGCTAATACGTGTATATTGGTTTGGCAATGGGTGTTTTTACTTGGAGTTTGTAAATAGACTGCACTTTGTTTTAAGGAAGTGATGGGTTCTTGTTTGACGTGTGTGTACCTGTTCATGGGAGGCCAGAGGATAACATCACAGCTCTTTCTCAGTTACTTTCCATTTTTTTTTTTTTTTTTTGAGACAGGGTGTCTGTTATGTGTTATGTAGTCCTGGGTGTCCTGGAACTCACTCTGTAGACCAGGCTGGCCTCAAACTCAGAGATCCACCTGCCTCTGCCTCCCGAGTGCTGGGATTAAAGTTATGTGCCCATTCCTGGCTCCATCTTTTGAGACAGGGTCTTTCACTGAAAATGGAGCTCACTAGTTCAGCTAGACCAGTGAGCTGACCAGAGAGTGTCTGTCACATTACAGATGCATGTTGTCATACCTGGCTCTGTGTGTGTGTGTGTGTGTGTGTGTGTGTGTGTGTGTGTGTGTGTGATGTGCGAGGGTGTTTGGGTATGTGTATGTTGTGATGTCTGTGGAGGTCAGAGGACAGTCTTGGGTGCTGGTCCTTCACATTCCATCATGTTTGAAACAAGATCTCATTTGCTTTTGCTTACAACAGCCGCAATCTTCTAGGGGTTCCGTCTCCAACTCGGCCTTGCTGCAGGAGCACTGGGGTTACAGATGTGTACTACCATGCCTGGCATTATCTAGGTTCTGGAGATTTGAACTCAGGTCCTCATGAGCGGCCAATGCTTTACCTACTTCAAAGTTAGTCTTAGTTTGGAGTTGAGGATGTCTCTCAGTGGTAGAGTTGCCTAGCAGCTTTGTAGCAATGTACATTGTTAAGCATGTACAAAGAAAGCCCTGTGGATTCTCAGCAATGAAAAGGAAAATTAGTCTTAGTTTCACTTAAAACCATTTTGGCTAGCAAGATGGCCCGGTGGGTAAAGGTTCTTGCCCATCAAGTATAACGACCTGAATTCAGTCCCTGAGAGCCATGGATGAAGAGAACTGACTCCTGGAAGTTGCCTTCTGGCCTCCACACTATGGCAGAGTAAATAAATACCCCGCCAGAGTAAATAAATAAAATACAATAAGGAAATTATTTTCAAAAAACCCATTTTAGCTTGGTGGGCATTCATGCTTTTTGTTTTTGTTTTTTGGGGACAGGGTTTCTCTGTAGCCTTGGCTGTCCTGGACTAGCTCTGTAGACTATTTGAGCCTAACACTCACAGAGATCCCCCTGCCTCTACCTCCTGAGTGGTGAGATTAAAGGCGTGCGCCACCACTGCATGGCAGAAACAAAATATTTTTTAAAGTTCTTCATCATATAGAAATTCAACAAAGAAATAGTTAGAATAGAGGTTCTGGGTTTAATCTCTTAATACCACAAAGGAAAAAGTTATTTAAATGTTTGTGTTAAAGAAGGTAGGTTGGGCGGGAAGGTGGGGAGAGTGGTTTCTCTCAAATCTTGTAAGAACAATTATAAACTGAGGCAGAGTCTGATAGTTTGAATCCAAAGAGTGATGGATAATCATTGGCTGGAGCAAACTGCTGGAGCAGAACAGCTGGAGCAAACAGCTGGAACAGAACAGCCGCCTTGTAGTCCTTTAGTGCCACTTAGTGGGCTCTTGAAAACCCAACCAAGGGGCTGGAGAGATGGCTCAGCAGTTAAGAACATGAGCTGCTCTTCCAGAGGTCCTGAGTTCAGTTCCCAGCAACTACATGGTGGCTCACAACCATCTGTAATGAGATCTGGTACCCTCTTCTGGCCTGTAGACATACATGCAGAGAGAACACGGTATACGTAATAAATAAATAGAGATAAATAAATTTATAAAAAAATAAACCCAACCAAACCTCTGCCAGTTCTGTCCATTCTACTCAGCAAAGGGGTGGAGAAAACCATCAGATGGGTTATTGTCGGTCACTCTGTCCTGTTGTAAGGGAGGAAGAGTATTGATAGTTAAGGGGGAAGTTGGATTAGATGTGAGGATCACGGACTGTTACTAGCTGTGTGACTTGGGAATTAATTTTCCTTAGACATCAGTTTCCTTGTTTGTAAAATAGAGATTACGAAAATGCCTACCGTTGTTGGGAGGGTTAAGTGAAGCAGACAGCATTCTCTGTGTAAAGAAACACTTAGAAGTAGTTCTTACGGGGCTGGAGAGATGGCTCAGCACTTAAGAGCACTGGCTGCTCTTGCAAATGACCCGGGTTTGGTTCCCAGGGCCCAGAACCACATGTGACTCCAGTTCTAGGGGATCTGACATCCCCTCTGGGCACTGTACTCATGTGGTGAGCAGTCACACACACAGGTAAAACATAATACACATAAAATGAAACTTAAAAAGTAGCTTTTATTATTTTTCTGAGTTATATTAACTATCTGTGATAGATAATTAAAGGTTGAGTGTAAGTTAGTGACAGCATATGTTTAGTGTATTTGATATCCTCTAGTCAGTCATAAGCAAGCACACATGTGAGTGAGTGTGTGCACACACACAAATTGGACAGAGATAAAAGTGTTTTATTTCTTTATTTCTTTCATCTCAGGTTTTCTTTTTTGGTCTGGTTCATGTTTTAAGCCCAAATGTAGTAAAGTGGTCAGTTTAATTCTTTTTATAATATGAGTTATAGTTATGAGCTTGTTCTGTTCTACTTAATTCTTATTTCCCCTTTTTTTTTTTGCATAAAGCTGGAATTGATGTAAATGTGGTCATGCTTCAGGAGTCCCAAGTTGATATGAATTCCAACCAACAATTCTGTTATAAAAATGTGCTTATCCCAAAGTGGTATGATATATGGACACGGATACAGGTAAATGGAAGCCCCTTCCCTGGGTATCTCAGCTCCCTTTACCAGCTTAGAGTAGTGTGACCCTGAGGGAAACGTTTGTCCTCCTTCTCTGCGCCTCCCTCTGCACACACTGCCTCCCTCTGCAGTGTGCACACTCAGGCCTCCTGTGAAGTGACTGCCTTCTTTGGGCCGGAATCTGGGGTGCCTGTTTGAACGTAAACTCTTGACTTGTGGTTCTCATTCTGTTTGGACTCTGTGAGAGAAGTTCCCTCTGTGTAGAACGACTTTGGACTGTTTCATAGCACTGTCAGGAGAGTTTCTGGCTGTAGTAGTGATTGAACAAAAGGAGCCTTTTGGAGCTGCTGCAGTAACTATGCAGTAACTGTGACGGACACTGGTGAGGGTGTTTGCTGTTCACATCAACACTCGAGAGCTGGGCTTGCAGGCTTTTTAACATTCTCTCTCTTTTTTTAATTTTCTGATACAAAATTCGTACTGTATCTGGGGCACATTATAGCCAACATTTATCCCTAATCAGTGATTTGTGACAATGTGTTGAGCGTCTCAGCCTGTCATTATGGAAACACTTTCAGTTTTCTGGGGCTGTTTATGACTGGCAATTTTCTTAATATTCCAGATCCTTGCTTTGTATGATCTCGTGCATAAATAGCTGTATTGATACTCTTTCTGCTTGGGATCTCCTCCCCACCCCCACCCCCTTTTCTGGCCTAATAGTGATTCAGACAATGTTAAGAAGAAATTGTGGCAGCTGCCTCTATTAGAGCAGCGTCATTTTCCAAATCATGTTTTTGCTGCATCTGTATATTTCCAGTAAGGGTTTTTTAAATTATGTTTATGAAAATTTCTTACTTTTCATCCTAATTTTGTCTGTGTTACAGGTCCGGGTAAATAGTTCCAAATTGGTCCGAGTCACCCAGGTGGACAATGAGGAGAAGCTGAAGGAGCTAGAGCAGTTTAGTATCTGGAACTTTTTTTCTTCCTTTTTAAAAGAGAAATTGAATGACACCTATGTTAACGTGGGTCTATACAGCACAAAAACCTGCCTCAAAGTTGAGATTATAGAGAAGGACACCAAATACAGTGTCATTGTGACCCGGAGTAAGTCTCACCTTGGTTTTTCTGATGGATTCTATAATGAGCTGGGACAGAGCTTTGGAGGGTATAATTAGACAGAGAAGTCAGTCCAAGACAACTCCATTTTGGTTTTGATTACCAACTTGACTATACCATGGCACTAGCCAGCTATGGAGACTCCACCACACATAAGACTCTAGGCCTGTGCCGGGCGGTGGTGGCGCACGTCTTCAATCCCAGTACTTGGGAGGCAGAGCCAGGCGGATCTCTGTGAGTTCGAGGCCAGCCTGGTCTACAGAGCGAGATCCAGGACAGGCACCAAAGCTACACAGAGAAACCTTGTCTCGCAAAACCAAAAAAAAAAAAAAAAAAGAACCTAGAGTCTAGCTCAGTAACTCATTGCCTAGAATCGGCAGGTCCTCAGTTGATATGGTCAGCACTACTGGAGTATGTCAGACTTTTGTATCCATGCCTTCTGGAGACTCCTTGACTATGTTCAGGTCTGTATTTGAAGACAGGAAAAGTGAACAGTAAAACTAGTAAATTCACAAGAGTGCTTGTGAAATCATGATTAAAGATGAAGACACTGTAGTTTAAGGCTTATTTGCTGGATGTGGGAAAAGTTTTTCCTTCTTTGAAGGCATCTGAGAGTTTTAGAGGAGGTAGATACCATCAGATCCTGATTTGGTTTCTCTTGGTTACTGCTCAGGGTTCATGCTTATAGGTTTGCTATAAAAGGTTATGCCGACAGTTTCCTACTGTCGGGCTCTACTGATGTGTGTGGTGTTGTGGAACATGACTTTAACTAGACAAAGATGTGTTCCATTGGTTTATGCTGCATTCGATTAATTATGTAAAGATATGTTGTATCTGTTTTACCTTGCCTGCCTAAGGCACCTGGTTGGTGTAATAGTGAGCTGAACAGCCAGAAAAAAAAAGCCTGTAAACATTGTGTGACTGTATGAGGTGATGATGGCGTCATGTTTAGCTTATTCCAGTGGTTCCTTTTTTTTTTTTTAAATCCTTAGTGGAGGAAGCTAAAATCAAAATAAGATATTTAGAAAGGTACAGGTTAGACAGAAACCTAACAGTGTTTTCTCTTTGGAAGAGTGCCAGGATTCCGTGTGATCTCTCTACTGCATTTAACTGGGCTCTTTGCCTTACTGTAGTTGACCAGTAATACTAATGTCACCTTTTATAATACCTTTAACTGGCTCTTCTATTAAACAAACATTTCATTTGTTTCAGGATTTGACCCCAAACTCTTCCTTATTTTCCTCCTTGGACTTACGCTATTTTTTTGTGGAGACTTGTTGAGCAGGTAGGTGTGGACTTGATAAGACACTAACATTATTTGACTTTCATCATAAGAATTGTAAGTACTGCCATTCCCTTCTCCAGGATCTGTATGGCTTAGATGTTACCTGCTTGGGTACTTTTTAGACTTATTTGTTTTGTTTGTTTGAGAGAAGGTCTCACTTTCAGTGCTGGCTGGCCTAAACCCAGTGTGTAGTCCAGACCGGCCACAAAGCTCCGCTGTCCTGCCGCCCACGTGATGGGATTAAAGGTGTGTGCCACCATGCCCAGCTTTTTTCTTTCAGTGTGTATCTGTGCCTCTGTCCATGTGTGGTATGTGGTGCCTGCAGAGACTGAAAGAGAGAGGGCATTGGGTCCTCTGGACCTGGAATTACAGGCAGTGATTGCGCCTCTAATGAAATCGCTGCCAAGTTACACATTGATGGTTTCCTACTGTTCAGAGAGAGGGAGACAAACATCAATTACTTGCCCATTTTCTTTTTTGAGAAACCGACTAGCTGTGATAGGTAAAATTGACATGCTCTAATATAAAGGCCCACTCTCTGAGATAAAACTAAATACTGCTGAAGCAGCTGAGAAGCTGGGACTGGGTAAGTTGTGGGCTAGAGGAGAGCTAGCGTTGCTGTCCTGCTGAGAGAGCACTGCAGTACAGTGACTCCTGGTGACCTGGCGCTCCACTCCGCTCGGCCTGTAATAACGCACAGACCCACAGAGGACAGGGAGGATGGGGTCTATCAGACTCCTCCCCTCAGGGCTCAGGGATCCTGAGGAAGAGGAGGTGAGATTGTAAGAGCCAGAGGTGGTGGATGACTCCAAGACACAGCAGGGGTGATGGCAGTGTCAACAAGTCCTACACAAACTCCAGCCACTCAAAATCCCAGCACTGAGAGGGGAAATGGATGCAGAGTCCCACCCCTAGCCAAGAAACTGTTTGCAATTGATACCTGCTGGGAAAGGGAACATGAGTTTTCTCTAGCAGTGTCACTGGGTCCATCAGCCACACTTGGGGACAGGTTTCATTCCCAGGAGTAGTTGACCAACACAAAAAGGACTCCTTGGGGGCTGTTTTGTTGCTGTTTTGGATTTTTGTTTTTGTTTTTTTTAGATTTATATATTATGCACACAGTGTTCTGCCTGCATGTGTCCTTGCAGGTCGGAAGAGGGCACCAGATCTCATTACAGATGGTTGTGAGCCACCATGTGGGTGCTGGGAATTGAACTCAGGACCTCTGGAAGAACAGCCAGTGCTCTTAACCTCTGAGCCATCTCTCCAGCCCCTTGTTTTGGGTTTTTTTTTTTGTGTGTGTGTGTGTGTGTACTTTTTGTTCTGGTATTTTTGTATGAAAAAGATTTAAATAAATATATGGTTAAGTAAATACTGAGTGAAGGTTGAATCAACATTAAGTTCATAAGTGAAAGGTAAACAATTGGAATTTGAAGTTGAGCTATGTTGGGCTTGAGAGAAGTTGTTCTTTTTTTTTTGGTTTTTCGAGACAGGGTTTCTCTGTGTAGCTTTGTGCCTGTCCTGGAACTCACTCTGTAGCCCAGGTTGGCCTCGAACTCAGAGAGATCCGCCTGCCTCTGCCTCCCAAGTGCTGGGATTAAAGGCGTGCGCCACCACCGCCTGGCTGAGAAGTTGTTCTTTATTTTGGGACTCCTGAGGGAAACTCACATTCAGGGAAAAGTAACCCTTGGAATGGCAGTAGGATCTGTCTGTCCTGGGTAATCAGCTCCATTCACTTTTCAGTCTCTGCTTGGATTTGCTCCTCTCTTCCTAGACAAGGTGTCCAGTTCCTCAGAAGAGTTATATTGTTTCTTTTAAAAATGTTTTTATTAGCATGTAGTGATTGTATATAAGGATGGGTTACATTGTTGACATGCCTGTACATGTACATAATTAATTTTGATCATGTTTACCCCAGGACCCAACTAGCCATGCTTTTTTTTTTTAAATTCTTCTCTCCTATATTGCATCTCCACTGTGGTTTTCCCCTCCCTCCTCTCCTCCCAGTCCCTTCCCTCATATCCCCTGCCCCCATATCAACTCCTCCTTTCCCTTCAGAAAAGGGCAGGCCTTCCAGGGGTATCAACCAAAGATGGCATGTCAGGTTACAATAAGACTAGGCACCTCCCCTCATTAAGGCTGGATGGACAACCCAGTAGAAGGAAAAAGGTCCCCAGAGCAGGCAGAAGAGTCAGAGACAGCCCCCACTCCCACTGTGAGGAGTCCCACAAGAAGACCAAGGTGCACAACCATAACATATGTGCAGAGGACCTAGGTCAGACCCATTCAGGCCCCCTGATTGTCAGTTGAGTCTCTGTGAGCCCCTATGGGCCTGGTTAATTGGTTCTGTTGGCTTATTTCTTGTGTTCGTGACCCCTCTGGATCCTACAATCCTTCCTTGCCCTCTTGCAGGATTCCCCGAGCTCTGCCTAATGCTTGGCTGTGGGTCTCTGCATCTGCTCCCATCGGTTGCTGGGTGAAGCCTCTCTGATGATGATTGTGCTAGGCACTGGTTTATGAGTGATCTGAACATATCATCATTAGGAATCATTTCATTGACTTTTTTTTTTTTTTTTTGCCTGTCCTGTTTGGTTCCATCCTTGGTCTGGGTTGTCCAGACTCTAGTTCCTTGCCCTCCAGGCATTGTCTGGCATGGGCTCCCTCTCGTGATGTCGGTCTCAATTTCGACCAGTTATTGGTTGGGCACTTCCATGAGTTCTGTGCCACCATTACCCTGGCACGTCTTGCAGTCAGGACTAATTGTAGGTGGAAGGTTTTGTGGTGGGGTTGGTGTCCCAGTTCTTCCACTGGAAGCCTTGCCTGGTTACAGAAGATGGCCAGTTTAGGTTCCATGTCCCTCATTGCTAGGAGTCTTCACTAGTGTCACCCTTGTGGGTTTCTAGGAGTTTCCGTTGCACTAGGTTTCTGTCTCACCTCCAAAATGCGCCCCCCATTCCAGTCGTCTCTCGCAGTACTCTTCCCCCTGAAACCATCCTGTCCTATCCCCACCTGCCCGCAGTCTACCCATGAAATCTATTTTCCCTTCCCAGGGATATTCATGCATCCCTCCTGAGCCTTCCTTGTTACTTAGCCTCTCTGGATCTGTGGATTGTAGCATGATTATCCTTTAACTTTATAGCTGATAGCCACTTATAAGTGAGTACATACCTTGTTTGTCTTTTTGGGTCTGGGTTACCTCACTCAGGATGATTTTTTTTTCTAGTTCCATCCATTTTTTTTGTGATGTTATATTCTTTTAATAGCTGAGTAATACTCCATTGTGGATATATACCATATTTTCTTTATCCGTTCTTCAGTTGAAGGACACCCAGGGTGTTTCCAGTTTCTGGCTGCTATGAATAATACCACAATGAACATGGTGGAACAAGTGTCCTTGTGGAGGCCATTTGGTATATGCTCAAGAGTGGTATAGCTGGGTCTTGAGGTAGATTCCCAGTTTTCTGGTGAACCACTGTATTGATTTCCATAGTGGCTGTACAAGTTTGCACTCCCACCAGCAGTGGAGGAGTGTTCCCCTTGCTCTACATCCTCTGCAACATAAGCTGTCATGGTGTTTTTGATCTTAGCCATTCTGACAGGTGTAAGATGGAATCTCAGAGTTTTTTGATTTGCATTTCCCTGATGACTAAGGATGTTGAACATTTCTTTCTTTCTTTCTTTGGTTTTTTTGAGACAGAATTTCACTGTGTAATAGCTCTGACTATCCTGGAACTCACTATATAGGCCAGGCTGGCCTTGAACTCACAGAGATCTGCGTGCCTTTGCCTCCTGAGTGCTGGGATCACAGGTGTGCACTCCAACCTCCTGTGTTGAACATTCTTTAAGTGCTTCTCGGTCATTTGATATTCTTCTGTTGAGAATTCTCTATTTAGATCTGACCCCATTTTTTAATTTGATTATTTGGTTTGTTGATGTCTAGTTTCTTGAGTTCTTTATATATTTTGAATATTAGCCCTTTGTCAGGGTTGGTGAAAATCTTTTCCCATTCTGTAGGCTGCCATTTTGTTCTTTTGATGGTGTCCTTTGCCTTATAGAAGCTTTTCCGTTTCATGAGATCCTGTCTATTTATTTATTTATTTTTGGGTTTTCAAGAGAGTTTCTCTGTGTAGCTCTGGCTGTTCTGGAACTAGCTTTGTGGAGATCCACCTACCTTTGCCTCTCAAGTGCTAGGATTAAAGACGTGCGCCACCACTGCCCACCGAGGTTCCATGTATTAGTTGTTGACCTTAGTGTCTGCACTGTTGGTGTTCTGTTCAGGAAGTGGTCTCCTGTGCCAGTGTGTTCAAGGCTGTTCCCCACTTGCTCTTCTGTCAAGTTCAGTGTGCCTGGTTTATGTTGAGGTCTTTGATGGAGTTTTGTGCAGGGTAATAGATAGGATCTATTTAGATTCTTCTACATGCCAGCATCCAGCTAAACCAGCAACATTTGCTGAAGATACTTACTTTTTTCCCATTGTACATCTCACTTCTTCACCAAAAGTCAGATGTCCATAGGAGTGGGGATTTATGTCTGGGTCTTCAATTTGATTCCATTGATTGACCTGTCTGTTTTTATGCCAATGCCATGCTGTTTTTATTACTGTAGCTCTGCAGTACAGCTTGAAATCAGGGATGGTGATACCTCTAGAAGTTCTTTTATTGTACAGGATTGTTTTAGCTAGCCTGGGTTTATTTATTTTTTCCATATGAAATTGAGTATTGTTCTTTCAAGGTCTGTGAAGAATTTTGTTGGGATTTTGGTGGGGATTGTGTCGAATCTGTAGATTGCTTTTGGTAAGATGGCCATTTTTACTGTGTTAATCCTACAGACCCATGAACATGGGAGATCTATCTTCTGATATCCTCTTCAAAGGCTTGAAGTTTTTTCACACAGGTCTTTTACTTGCTTGGTTAGAGTTACCCCAAGATATTTTATACTATTTGTGGCTATTGTGATGGGTGTTGTTTCCCTTATTTCTTTCTTGGCCCATTTGTCATTTGTATATAGGAGGGCTACTGATTTTTGAGTTAATCTTTTATCCAGCTACTTTGCTGAAGGTGTTTATCCGCTGTAGGAATTCCCAGATAGAATTTTTGGAGTTGCTTAAGTATACTGTCATATCGTTTACAAATAGCGATACTTTTGATTTTCCAATTTATATCCCCTTGATCTCCTTTTGTTGTCTTATTGCTCTAGCTAGAACTTTGAGTACTATATTGAATAGATAGGGAGAGAGTGGACAGCCTTGTCTTGTTGCTGATTTTAGCAGAATTGCTTTGAGTTTCTCTCTCTCTATTAAATTTGATGTTAGCTATAGGCTTGCTATAAATTGCCTTTATTATTTTTAGGTATGTCCCTTGAATCCCTGATCTCTCCAAGACTTTCATTATGCAGGGGTGTTGGATTTTGCCAAAGGCTTTTTCAGCATCTCATGAGATAATCATATGTAATTTTCTTTCATTTTGTTTGTATGGTGGATTACATTGACAGATTTTCCTGTGTTGAACCATCCCTGCATCTCTGGGATGAAACCTACTTGAGCATGGTAGATGATCTTTTTGATGTGTGCTTGGATTCGGTTTGCAAGTATTTTATTGAGTATTTTTGCATTAATGTTCATGAGGGAAATTGGTCTGTAATTCTCTTTCTTGAATCTTTCTGTGGTTTGCGTATTGGGTGACTGTAGCCATATAAAATGAATTTGGCAATGTTCCTTCTGTTTCTGTTTTGTGGAATAATTTGAGGGGAGTATTGGTATTAACTCTTTGAAAGTCTGGGAGGATTCTGTGCTAAAACTGTCTGACCCTGGTCTTCTTTTGGTTGGGAGACTTTTTTTTTTTTTAAGATTTTATTTATTTATTATGTATACAGTGTTCTGTGGAATGGGCATCAAATCCAGTCCTGAAGTGGCTGGTTCCTCCTACAGCAGATTTATGTGCACTGCTGCAGTGTGCTCATCCTGACTAGGTCAGTATTGCTGCACACAGGGTCCACAGCTGAGTGAGACTGTTGGTGGGAGTTCTCCCCTAGCATCTCCACAGCCCATTCTGGCACCATGAAGGCTACCCAGCAGGAAGGGAGCTTCCAACCCAGTTCCAACTTGATTTTTCTATGCCCCATGTCTATAACATGTGGTGGATTTAAAGAGCGATGGAGATGGGAGTGAGATTTGAGAGGACCTTGTTGATACTGATCTTCATGGTCTGTCAGCAGCTACATCAGCCTGTAGTTCTGCAGCTTTAACTAGTGGGCAGATTCCTTCTCTAGTTCCTGTCTTGGAACTTTTCTAGTCACTTGTGATTTCATCAGTGCTTACTTGAACCACAGTATTCCACAGTCAAGAACAATGACTTTCTCTGCAGGAGTCAGCTTTTCTACTATTCCACTGGAGTGAGTGTGGGAATTGTGGCCTCTCTGCTAATCATCATTTTTATGCTCTCCAAGTTTATGCCCAAGGTAAGTGGTCCAGTCCTCCTAAGTCTTTAGGACACGCTTGGATAGCTGGAGGATAGTCTTCAAATCTTAGAATACGAACATTTGCATTGATGGCTGATGAGTCAGCGTCTGTCCTCTTGCGTGATTCTGTAAAGTACTTGCATGGGAAGACCTCGAGCCTGCAGACTCTTTATTTGAAATCGTGCTCAGTGGGAACTGAGGGCCACTTTCTGTTCTCTAACTGCACACTCAGGCCTTCCAGTTATTAGCATCTCATCTTCTGGTGTTCCTTGCAGACTGTACCTTTTTAGGTATTATAAAGCAGCATATTTTTTTAAGAGAAATGTTTTTATGCATTTTGAGTAGGTTGAGTTTTAAGAAAAAAATTACCCCCTTTGCTTTTATAAAAGTCTTGTAACTTTTTCTTTCATTCTTACTTTGTCTAGAGAAGTCCCATTTACGTCATCCTGGTAGGAGGCTGGTCCTTTTCTCTGTACCTCATTCAGCTAGTTTTTAAGAATTTACAGGAGATATGGAGATGTTATTGGCATTATCTTCTAAGTAAGTATTGGTGGCTTTGCTTTCCTTTGTTTGTGTTGATAGGCTGTTGGTTAATTTGATTGTGAGAAGATGTTGCCTGCCAACAAAGAAGGCTAACTTGTAAATATTATAATTCCCTACTTATTTCTAATACTGCATCTTAACATCATCTTAACATCTTTTAAATTTAGATGCTGTTGGTAAGAATAAAACTTTAATTTGCTGATGTTTATTCTACATTAAGCAAAATTTAAAACCTTTAAATTGTCTTTATTAATGTTAATTTAAATAATGCTTGGGGACCTGGAGAAGTAAGACCACCATGAATCTTGTAAACAGTAAGAATCCTTTGATCACCGGGCGGTGGTGGTGCACGCCTTTAATCTCAACACTCGGGAGGCAGAGCCAGGCAGATCAGTGAGTTCTAGGCTAGCCTAGTCTACAGGGTGAGATCCAGGACAGGCACCAAAGCTGCACAGAGAAACCCTCTTGAAACCCTCCCGTCACACACAAAAAAGAATCCTTTGATCATGCAGATAGAAACTTTTTCTTGATAGGAACTCGATCTATTATTTGAGAACATTACTATGGATTTTTATATTTTGGGGTTAAAATAGACAATTTTATAAATGTTCAACATGTAGCTTTTTAAAAAGATTGAGTTTTTAATTATGTGTGTGGGTATGTGCAGTCAAGTGCTGGTGCCTGTAGGGTCAGATCCCCTGGAGCCACCATGTGGTGCTGGGAACTGCACTTGGGTCCTCTGGAAGAGCATCAGTGCTCCTAACCTCTGAGCCTCTCTTCAACACCTTTGTTATGGGAACCCATCTGTTACACAAAGGATAAGATGCGAGTGTGTGTGTGTGTGTGTGTGTGTGTGTGTGTGTGTGTGTGTGAAATAGGTACACAATAAAGTACAGGTCTTATCTCATCTGGCTTGTTTGATGCCGTCTAGTGAACTCACTACCGCTTTCCACGTAATAGCTGGAAAAGAATGTCTTGTGCTGTCTCCTTTGATAGGCTACGTCCTCACAGTTGGATTCATGAGTTTTGCAGTGTGCTACAAGTACGGGCCCTTGGAGAATGAGAGGAGCATCAACCTGCTGACTTGGACACTGCAGCTGCTGGGCCTGGGCTTCATGTACTCCAGCATCCAGATGCCACACATTGCTTTTGCGCTGGTCATCATTGCACTGTGTACCAAGAACCTGGAGTATCCCATTCACTGGCTGTACACCACCTACAGGTGACTAAAGGCAGTGTCGTCGTTCTGGGTTGACATGTGAGGTGTGGGCACACTTGCAGCACAGGGAGACAGAGCTTTTCTTTGTAAGTGAGAAATCGCTGGGCTGGGTTTCCACTCTTGTTCTTTCTTAGTTGAGTCTGTTTTTTCTTTTTTATAAAAATAAAAGCATCCAGTAAAGTGTCATGTGTTCCTGTTACCACTAGGTGGTGCAAATTATAGGTGTTTTTGTTTTTAACCCTAGGCCTCAGGTTCAGGTTTCAGATCATTTCACACTGACTGCCAGATTGCTCCAAAAATCCCAATCTTATTTTAAGATGTAATTCATAGCATGTTATCTTTAAAGAGAGTAAATATGGAATGGTCCTTGATTCTGAGGTTGTCAGTGGCTGTTCCATTGCAGATAATCAAAGTGGAACCTTTAGTTTCAGAAACGGAGTTCGCGAACCATATTATGACATCATTTTGTTGTTGTTTTTCCATTTATCGGAAAATAAATACTTTGTTTGACATTTATTGGAAAATAAGTGAGTTTGACTACTCTGGTTTTTCCCTCAGTTTGGTATGTCAGGAGTGCGCTAGAATGAAGGATGTGTATAGAAGAGAGGGGGGGTGATGACTCCCAGTGTTTAGTCTTGTCGGGTGTGTGCTTGGTCTTCTGAAACCGTGGAGGTAAGGATGGATATGGATTGCTGATTAATGATTCATGATGTTATTTTGGTGAGCACAGAAAGATGTGTAAAGCAACAGAAAAGCCTGTCCCCCCTCGCCTCCTGACAGAAGAAGAGTATCGGATACAAGGAGAGGTGGAGACCCAAAAAGCTTTACAGGAGCTCCGAGAGTTTTGTAATAGTCCAGAGTGCTCTGCCTGGAAGACTATATCTCGGATTCAGTCTCCAAAAAGGTAAATGCTTGGCCTGATAAGCCAGGTATTTATGGTAGTTAATGACCATGAGTTCTAACAGAGATCATACTTCTAGATAACTGTGATATATTTTGCCCTTTGATTATTGCTAACCTAGGAGTAGACAAGAGAAAGTTATCTGTGTCATCATGTATTAGAAGTAATCTATTTCCTGTTTCCCCAAGGCATTAACATGTGAAGACTTCAGTACTATATTTAAATGTGGCCCTTTTAAGTTTGACATAGATGTTGTACTTATTTTTTATATTTCAGGTTTTTGAGACGGTCCATGTAGTCCTAGCTGTCCTGAGTTGCCCCCTGGCCCCCTATGGTTGGGAGTGGTTGTATGTGAAGTTTAATTTGGAATCATGATAGCATAAAGTTTATAGGGCCATAAATGCAAAGAACTGTAGTGTCCCAGTCTCTTATCAGGAATATGGCGACTGAAGGAACCTTAGCACTTCGTAACTGAGGACAGGGAGCCACTGTCAGCAGGAGGAGAATGCCCAACATGTTGGCTTATGAGCCCAGCCTTGTTTCCTGCCGATTTCTTCAGTCTATATGTCTGCCAAAGCAAGGACAGGAATTTCAGTTAGATTCAGTATCATTTGAACTGCAGGCATGCTGAGCCTTTCAGTCTGTTCTTATTTTGAGAGCCGTTCAGGAAGGACAAGCAGCTTCTTAATGAGCAACCCTCTCTTTTGCAGATTCGCTGACTTTGTGGAAGGTTCTTTTCACCTCACGCCAAATGAAGTCTCTGTTCACGAGCAGGAGTATGGATTAGGGAGCATTATTGCCCAGGATGAGGAGCTGTCCTCAGAGGAGGAAGGCTCAGAGTACCCTGCTGTGGTCACCCAGAACAGCTTCCTGACTTAGTTGGGAATCGGTTATTTTCATGTAGACTGGTGTGCGAGGGTGCAGAAGCTCGCCTGCTGAAAGCCGAGGACTGGGGGTGTCACCCTGGCAGTGCTTTGGTGGTCTCCAAGGGATCCCTGAGGAAAGAGTGGAGGAAGGAGTGAGTGCCGTGGTCACTTGATTCTGACAGTTGAGCTATTGGTCCACTTTGCTATTCTTGAAGAAACTGGTTGGCCACAGCCAGCATGATAGTCTAGCTCCTGTTTGAAAGTTCACTGAGTGATGGTGATTCCATCACTGTGACAAACCCTCAGAAATTAAGTGCAGTAATGCATTCAGATCATAGACTGCATCTCCTAAAGAGAAATCTACAAATTTGAGCCATTTTTACTTGTCTGCTTCTTAAGTGACAAGTGCTGGGATCTTAAGCCTTGACTTAAGGAAAAATAGATGGTTGCCTATCTTGTTTTTTAAACAAATTATTTTTTTAAATGCAGCAAATTCATGTTTTAGAACCAATAAGTGCTCCAGAGTGACAAACTCTGCTGACCCCCGGATATTTATTGGTACAGATCTCCATGAAAACCCCTGGAGCTGTTGTGTTGAGCCTTGGATTCTCATGAATCTGCTATTCTGGGTTTTACTTAACATTTAGAACGACGTCTGCCAGCCTTCTGTGGTGCTGCTCCCCTGAGCTCGTGGTTTAACATCTGCGTTTTCTCACCACGGCTCCTGACCTGGCTCCTGACCTGTGCCGCGTGTGCGGGTTTTCTTCTTCTCTGCTCCCTCCCTCCCCTTCCTAACATGGAGGTTCCTCCCCTTCTGACCATTTTGTTTTGAGTTTTTTCTCTCAGGGCCAGGGTCTTGCCTTGTAACTCAGGCTGGTCTGAAGCTGTCAGTCCTTTGATCAAAGCCTCTCAGTGCTGGGATCTTAAGCCTATGCTGCCATGCCAAGCTTCTTTTTTTTCTTTTTTTGAGACAGGGTTTCTCTGTGTAGCCCTGGCTGTCCTGGAACTCACTCTGTAGACCAGGCTGGCCTTGAACTCAGAGAGATCCTCCTGCCTTTGCCTCCCGAGTGCTGGGATCGAAAGTGTGTGCCACCACACCTGGCATGCCAACCTTCTTGCCTTATTTTTTTAATATATATATCCTTTATATATCCCTTTATCTTGGTTCCTACATTATAACTAGGGAGAGAAGTCTTGTTTACCTCTTTTTCTCCATCAGATTTCATATGACTTACTACACAATCAAGAAACTATCCCAGGGCTGGGGATGTAGCTCAGTGGTAGAGCGCTTACTGGCTCGGGATGCAAGGCCCTGGTTGGATCTTTAGCACCACAACAAAACAAAACCAACCCTACCTCCTTGTCCCTGTCTCCTCTCATATACCCATTCTGTTCATTCCGCCTTCTCACTGCCTGCATGTTCCCAGACTGGTAATTTGTAAGTCCTGAAACCACCTGTTAAGTTCTTAATATGCAGTTTGGGTTATGTAGCTGCCGGACGGACTTTGCATGTCGGATCATAGACCTTAAGGCGATCTTCCTGCCTCTGACGCTCATTCAGCTGCCAGCACCAGACACGTTCTCCCTGAATTGACAGTCCTTATTTACAGTTGAGAATCCCTTGCCGTTGCAGACACCCTTAAAAGCTAACGGTGTCGTTTATGAGGGAGCAGACTCCCAAGGCTCTGCCGTTTGCTTGGCTCTTTCATTGTGATCTCCACCGTCACATTAGAAGAAGCGTGTGACTTACTTCTGTGATTCCTTCAGCCAGGAAGGGGGGTGCTGACTCAGGTATACAGCATCAGACTCATTGTCTCAGGATCATCGAGAAGGAAGATGGTGTTTTCAAGAATATCTTAGGGTTTCTTCAGACCTGCTAGTTTTGAAAGACCCTGGGCTCTACTGCTAGCATCCAAAATGCCGGCTGAGTCGCATCTCCAGGTGGCAGTGGGTTATTTCAACCATTGTTCCCCATAGCCTTAAATTGTCCTAAAGTGACAACTACCTCAACTGGTAGAAAGTGAAGCAGGAGAGACGGGACGTGAGCAGTATCTGAGCAGGTGCTGTGGGTTAAAGCTGCAGAGTACAAGATGTCTTTGTGAATTAGGAATATGGTAAAAATCTGTCCCTTTTCAAAGAACCATCACAGCTTCTGAAAAGGTGGGGATGAAGCTCAGAGGAAGTACATGCTTGTCTAGCAGGCACAAGGCTGGGGTTCAGTTCCTGGCATCACAAAAACAAGACCCATTGCTAACAACAAAAGCCTCTAAAACACACTATTTGGAACCTCCTTTATAGAAGTTGATACCCAGTATATTTTAGTGTAAAAGCCAGTTCAACTGTACAAGTGGCGTTAGGTCCTGGAAGCCCTTGGTGCCTTTCCCCACTTCACTCCCTGAGGACGGCAGCTTGCCAAAGGGGAGGGGACTTCTGACTTAGATGTTTATTTTAATGAGAAATCACTGTGAATGACTTTGCTCTTCTGTGTGGTGAGCTCCCAGTGAAATACGGATTTCATTTCAAGGCCATTTGTCTCTTGAACTGTGTTTGAATTTGGGGTGAGGAAACCCAGCTCACTTTCTTACCCTGAGTCTGGGAGTTGGAGAACTGAGTGGTGAGAGCTGCTGTCAGTGAAGGGTGTGCTGCTTTTGAGTGCTGTGTACCCTTGCCCTGCCCACCTGCCTGCGTGTCTGACGGATCGCAGCAGGGGTGGAGGGAGGACGGGGGCGAGCTGGGCACTGGAGCCGTGGCTGTGCCCTGTCAGCCTCTGTGCTCAGCGGCTGTCAAGCCATAAATTGGTTCCAGGGCTCAGGGTCTCATCATTGGAAATCTATTGCTTCTAATGGGTCTGACTCGAGTTTATAGAACATGGCTGCCACTAATGAGAACGTAAGAGGCAGTTGGCATAAGAATTTATAATGTCCCTTTCCTCATTAGAACATGATGACCAAAGCCAAAAAGATTTAGCAACTTCGATGACTTGAAATAGGAGGAACTGGTTTCTCCCACCTGCCTTCTTGTTAGAGCAACAGTGGAGATTTTGCTGGTGATGGCTCTTGGGGTCCCACTGTTGTATTTTATCACATCACATCCTATCCTAGGGCACAGCCCTCTATTAATCAATTGTGTTCCCTTTAGCCTACCCCACTTGGCATAGGTGATGGAGGTTTGATGAATGAAAGGACCCAAATAGGCCAGAGAATCCCCCGAGGCCTTGATACCCTTGAAGGGTTTGGGAATGAGTTATGTAATTGCCCTCAATCTTTTGTTCCAGAAAAAAAGGATGAGCTGAGATGGATGTCTGTGTTAAAATGGTCCCTAGCGGTGTCCTCGTAAGAGTTGAAGTAGGAGGGCAGAAGATACACCCCTTCTAGTATTCCTCTGGACTCAGGTCTAGTGTATGAGACAGTCGTCTGCATTTTAATGGAGAATTTTATCTGAACACAGGAAGGACAGTGGGGCAGATTTACTGAGCTCTCACATTAGCGAGGCACTGAGAGCAAGGGATAAATACACAAGGTAGCAGTTGCACGGCACAGCTTTGCCTAAGCCTTCCATGTAGCAGAAATGATTTCTTTTGGGGGAACTTAAACAACTGTGGTTACCCAGTGGTATCGTAGTGGCTTAACTATGGATACTGTTGCTGTTGGAGTCAGGATGGCTACTGCCTTGAAAAGGTGGTTTGGAAGTCTGGCATGGTAGTGTATACTTGAACTTGGAAAGGTGAGTGAGAGGATCACTTGAGTCTGGACATTTTAAATTAGTAGGGGCAGCAAAGGAGATCCCCATCTTAAAATAGAGAGTGTTTGGTGCCTTACATGGCAGGACGTAGAACCCTGTGAATAAGCAAAGCATACAAACACCAGTGTTAGCCCTGTACCTCAGCAGGGTCAGGTGTGGTCACAGACTCACACGTGAGGCTTTGGACCCATACACATCCCACATGCGTCGTCATCCTTTGACACACTTTGTTATTTAGACAGGGTGCCAGTCTGTAGCCTGGAACTCACTCAATATATTGCCCAGGCTTGCCTAGAACTCACGGCAGCCCTGCCTTGGTCTGGATTGCTGGGATTATAGGCATGAGCCACCATGTCCAGCGTCCTCTTTCATATTCTTGACAATAACTTGAAAATGGTGAAACCAGTTGGCTTTGAACTTCTGGGAAGCATGAGCATCACTGTGTGGCAGATTGCCGCCAATGTGGACCTCAAAGCCTGTTAAACCCACAGTGGCCACAGTTTCATGTCTATGGAATTGATGCTGAAATAACAAGGCCAAGGAACTACTAGGTAAGTTAGCCTGTGGGTAATGCCTTAGTGTTATTTAGATAAAATATTTGTCACTTATACTTCATAAATGTTAAAGAATGTTCAGGAAGAACAAAATTATCAGGGATGGCTGTTTGCCATGGCTCTTCACTTCCCCCTACCTTTCTGTAAGAAAAAGTGATGCTGTGTATTTTTTTATTATTATTATTATTATATGGCTTGTAAATTATCCCAATTTTAATAAAGTTTTATATGCTGTATAGTGGTCTTTTTTAAATTAAAATACTCAATATTTGGCTTGTGTATGTATATTAATTTGTATGTGAGTGTGCTCATGCTGGACACGTGGGCATCAGAGGACAACTTGTGTGAGTGTCTCTCTTCCCACCGTGTGGGTTCCAGGGGTCAAACTCAGGTCATCAGGCTTGGCAGCAGGCGCCCTTGCCCACTGAGTCTCTCTGTTAATGAACATTCATTTTTGTGTGAATCTCATGCTTTCAGATACTATGTATTTACCTTTTAGTAACCACAACTCACTGTCCTGGGTATTGGTTTGCTGTCTTGGAGCCTGGGGCGGGGGCACGTGTTGAGACTGTCTCATGAGGCCCAGGTGGCCTTGAACTCCTTATTTTCCTGTCTCAGGAGTGCTGGGATCAAAGGCATGAGCCACCACGCCTAGCATCTTCTAAGAAGTTATGGCTGGGAGGCTTGTTGAGTGAGTCAGTGTGCCCAAATGGTGGTCAGCTATCAGGATTGGAATTCCTCATTGTCTTTTTGTCTGCTGCTTGAGAGTGTAAGTTACATAAACAGTAAAGTCTACGTTTACTGTATAGTTGGGCTGAGTTTTGGCAGTCATTTGTATAATCATACAGTCACTGATGAGCCATTTCTGCATCCCACAGGTTCCTCTACACTCACTGTATGGAACAGGCTTGTTCCCTTTCTCAGGTTGGGTCATGCTTGAACTCTGCTAGCCACAGGCTCCCACTGAGCCATGCCTGTCCCTGGTGTAGATAGGGACAAAGGAAGGTGATTAGAAGTCAGTTGGGAAGCAGATGACAGTGCTGTGCCAGCCCACCCCACTTCCGCATGGCAGATGTTAGAATCCCAGCTGACTTGGATGTGTGTTTCATATGTTGTATACTTGAGAGTGTCCCGTTCCACATTTCCCCAGGTCTTCCCTGGTTTATGGTAGGGTGAAGGACAGGGTCTCACTCTGCAGCGCTGGCTGACCTGAACTCCCTGTGTAGACTAGTCTGGCTTCAAACCTGCCTCTGCCTTCCCAGTGCCGGGATTAAAAGTGTGCCAGCATTCCGTCATGGACTTCCCTCATTTTAGCTCGTAGATTCCAGCTATGTAGGAGTCCACTGGGGGTCCCAGGCAGGCCAGCATGGTTGGTAGCAGGAGCTGTAATGTTAGTATTGTTTTAAAACCAAAGTGCCATCTTGTTTTAAGTCATGCAGTAGGCACATACATGAGTGAATGGGTAGAGGAGACAAGCCCCAAGTGGCTTTGGACTCCTAGCTGTGCACCTAAGACCCCAGGCTCTAGTCCCTGCTGTGGAGGTTTGCAGTGGTGTGGTCCTGGGAAAGAGTTTCTTACTCTAGGTCTGTGGGATCAGTAGTCGCCCTGGCTCTGACACAATCACAGGACCCCCACCCCCCCGTAATAGGGGATTATGTTTTGATACCACGTCTGCTCAGCTTTCTCCCTACCTGGCTTCCCTTCCTTCAAGTAGATGTAGTAAATCAATAAATTATGTATGGGCAGGTTGAAAACGGAACTGCTGATGTACCAGGTTTATGCAGAGTGCTTCTGCTGGAGTAATAGAGCTCGGACCTTGAACCAAGCAGCAAAAGCTGAGAGTTGGAAAATGAGGTCTCCATGTTAGTTAAGTGATACAATCACCTAATTTTTCTCTTTGTGCGTGTCTCTGAGAGAAGAGAGTAGGCAGAGGGGCATGCTGTTTAGGAATTGACCTGGATGGGTGAAGGCATGTTGGGAAATTGGATTTTATAAGCTTTTACCTGTCTGGGGAGCCATCTTCTGCTGGACTAATGCCCAGGAAACAGCATCTCGGGATCTTACTTGGTATCCTACTGCTGAGAAATGATTAAGACAGAAACCTCAGAACTGAGGCTGCATTCTTTGGTAGGCAAGATTGAGAAGTGTGTCCTGTTCCTGGTTCCTGATGTGTTAGCTGTAGAACTGGGTGTTACTTGTGAGCATGGTGTCGGCCTCCATTTTCCCGCAGAATGAATTATCTGCACTGCCTGCCTCTAAGGGTGGGCTACTCGTTCATGATTTGGGTGGTAGGTCCATGAAATGTAAGGAGTCACAGCTCTGCTTTTAATCTGTGGGTCTCTATAATGAGGTCTCAAGGGAAGGGAAATGGACAGGATTTGGAATTTTGTCACTGGCCCTCCAAGTAATCTGAGAACTCTGGGTCTCCCAGGAAGATAGGAAAGGTAGATTTAAGGGAGATACTATTTCTCTGCTAGGAAGACCCCCACCCCCAGCCTGTTTCCACCCATGGCAAAATTTCCAACCCTTTTTTTTGAAAATCTTTTTCCTTGGCTACAAATTCTCTTTCTTTTGCTCTTATTTCCAAATTCTTGCAATAGTGGGGCATGAACTCATCTCTATTGGGGCCCCCTCAGCAAAAGCCAGGCAGAGATCCTTTCCCTAAATGCAGGGAGGCTGCGCGTCATGGGCTTGTGAAGGGTTAAGGGAGCCACACCCTCAGCAGGAACAGCTCTGGACTTTGTGCTGAGCAGCCATCTCTGGCCTGAGTGGCACAGGGAGCCTGGACTAAAGGAGGCAGCACAGAGGAAGGTCGGATGAGGGACACCAGGCTTCCCTGACACCATGGACAGCTCCTGCTAAGGAGGCCGCCTCTCCTCGCTCGGCATCTGTGGCTCCTCCACTGTCTGACAGACTGAGACTCCCCACCCCCGTTTTCCGAGGGGCACCGAAGTACACTCTTGTTCCAGTGTCGGGTAAGTCCTGCCTTGACCTGTCACCCTGGGGTGCCACTTCTGGGATCTGTTTCTATTTCTCCCTTCTCACTTCCAAAGCCCTATTCTTAACTCCTCTCAATTCAGACTCAAAGATGTGTACTCCTTCCCTACCTGTCTCACACCCTTCCCTGCCAAGTGGCTTTAAACTCTCCCCCTCCCCCTCTCTTTATGTGTGCGTCTCTCTCTCTGTGTGTGTGTGTGTGTGTGTGTGTGTGTGTGTGTGTGTGTGTGTGTACTGGATCTTACTTTGCACTTCAGGGTGGTCTGGAATTCACTGTGTAACTCCGGTTGGCCTCAGACTCATGGCAATCCTCCTGCCTTGGCCTCCTGAATATTGTGATTACAGGTATAAGCCACCATGCATGGCTACTTAGCTTTAATCTGAAATACAAGGGATGCTAAGAGTATGGACTTCATGGGCTATTGTAACTGCCTGGCCTGTGATGAGTGCTGCATGCTTCCCAGAGGCTGCTGTTACCAATGTTCACATTGCAGCCTAGGAATGTAGGAAGTTACTGGAGCTTGGGAAAAGCAGAATGGAGGGAAAAGAAGGCCGGCTCCCTTCCTTGCCCCACATGGTATCCCTGTTGGTCTAGGTTCAGAGGAGCAGGAGAATGGGGGATGTGTTAAGAGTCCTGCTCGGGAGTAGCAGTGACCACTGTACTAATTCTGCCACCCGCCTGCTCAGTCCACATGAAGAGGGCGTGTTTCTTCCTGCAGAAACACCTGCCCCCTGCCTGCTGCGTGCAGCCGGGCCCACAGCCCTTCCTGTAGCGCTCCTTCTTGTTCACCCCCACCAGCTACTAAAGAATGGGGTGTGTCTGCAGGCAAAGTCCATGCCAGAAGATGATAGGGATGGGTATAAAATCTGAAGATTTTACAATTAAAGACAGGGCAGGAGGGATAGCCAGAGAGACATGACAGTTTCCATCTTTTGTGGAGGACTATCTGTATTCTTGAACTCATCACCTTGTCCAACATCATCTAAAAATGAAGTTCACTGGTAATGACAGGGAAGAGAGGCCTCTGGAGACAGGCATTGTGGAGGGATTAGGTGCCTGAAATGGGGTGGAGTACGAGCACTGGGCAAGCTGCCAGGGAGCACTCCCTGAGGAGGGAGGGTACTTTGGGTGCTCAGCTGAGGAACGAAGCTTGGGTCACACTTCAGCCCTGCCCTTCAAGCACAGTTCTGCTCCTATATCAGTGCCCACTGATGCCACCCTTCCCCAGGCAGGTGGGCAGACATGGGCCTATCTAACGGCCATCCCACCCCTACCTAGGGGTTAGAGGGTCCCTCCACCTCCCTGGTTGGCCAGGCTAGTCCAGAGGCCCTTGTGACTAGACGGCTCTTCCGCAGAGAGGAAAAAGAGGGCACTTGTAGGGACTTCTGCCCTCTCCTCCTTCCTCCATGACTTAGCCCTTAAGCTGAGCAAGCAACAGCAATTTGCCATGTTTACGCCTAGGATCCTCAACCCTCTTGACATGCCTCTCCTGGAAGGCCCCGTGGGGGTGGAAGACCTTGTCCTCCTGGAACCCCTGGACGAGGACTCTCTGATCAAGAACCTCCAGCTTCGTTATGAAAACAAGGAAATTTATGTGAGCTCAGGGGTGCCAGGCGGTGGGGTACCCAGAGGGTTTGGTATTCCTCCTGCCAGGCTCATTTGCTTCAACTCCCTCCCCCCCCCACCCCAGACCTACATTGGGAATGTGGTGATCTCAGTGAATCCCTACCAGCAGCTTCCCATCTATGGCCCAGAGTTCATTGCCAAATACCGGGACTACACTTTCTATGAGCTGAAGCCCCACATGTGAGTAAAGGACCAGAGGAGGGTTGACAAAGCTCTAGCGTGGTGTCCACGGAGCATCTTAATTCCCCCATCCCCTCCCCCAAAGAGGTTCTCCAGCATCCTTCTTCCCCTAAGAATCCTTCCAAGACCTGTCACTTCCGGCCTAATCTCATCCATGTGAGAAGGGTGGACGAACCTAGTGCTGTGGATGGAAAGATGCTGTCTTGGGCTGGCCTCACATCTGTTATTGTCTACTTCCTTCCTGCAAGCTATGCTTTGGCAAATATGGCCTACCAGTCACTGAGGGATCGGGACCGAGACCAGTGTATCCTCATCACGGGTGAGAGTGGAGCTGGGAAGACAGGTGAGGTGGCGTCTGGCTTGGGGGGACCAGGGACTCATGTCTGGAATTGTCTCCTCCTCTCTCCAAGACAGGCCTGTCCCTGTCCTCAACCCCCTGCTTCCTCTTTAGTTTTTTTTTTTTCCTCT